AGGGTTTCTGGTCAGAAATTAGGGGATGGGCCGTCAACTGGCCAGAAATCCCATCCTTTGATAAACTCCCATCCTGTACCGCCCTCAAAGCTCTTCACAGACTTAGGCCTACTTAGGAAAGAGATTTCAAAGGTGCAAACCAATGAGGAGGCTGATTCATCCCCAGGGGCCAATCAAAGTCTGGAGGGCGGGGGATGGGTAAAAACTGAAATGAACCCAATGACTTGGCAAAAGCTGCTGAATTCCTAATTTAAAGGGGCAAGCCTGAGACCCACTCCACCTTGTACACTCCACCACTACCACCAAAGAGGAACTAGGGACAGGGATTTATGAATGTTCCATAAGCTCCAAATTGAGAGTAAGGGTAACTGTGTCAGAGAGATGAATCTGGAGCGTGAGATAGTTCCTTCTGTGTTACCTACAGGCTCTAAGAGATGATTGTTTCTGTTGCTTGGAGCTCTAGAGTTCTGAGTCTGTGTTCAGAACACTGTGCCTTTAAGGAGACTTCCTGCCTTCCACCCCAGTAACAGCTGATTGTTGGAAAGTGTGACCTCAGGGGACAAATCAGCTGTTACCACATCCTCTCCTTGTCTGCCCTCCTCCATCTCCTTATCCTTCCCCCCCCCATGGGTGGTAAGAGAAGGAAGGAAATGGAACCCCAAATATGGGGAACATAATTTGTGATCTTTCCCCATCACTCCAAAATTGTGGTTCTCCTCCATCTGCTTGTTAGTTCTTCAGAGGTTCTGAGCATGGAACCAGAAGTATTTCCTGTCAGCACAGTCAGACCAGATCCGCCCTCTTTACTTTAGTGGGGAGGCCATTTATTGGGGAGGTCTGGAATGGTGACCAGCTGGGTGTGTGTATTGGCACCATTATTGCCAACAGTGTGGGTGCCCCCGGAGGGAATTGGGGATGGAACAGGGAAACTTAGGCCCAAGTCTAGGGAAGAGGAAAAGGTGTGGAAAGCAAACCGTGGGGTCAGAACCCTGTTTTCCAGGCCAGCTGTCCCTACTCCCTGCTCAAGTTGCTCTATTTCTCTCCAGACAGGAACCTGCTGAGGGAATCCTCCTGGCTTTGCCCATCCCTTCCAATTCTAACTGTTCTCAAGTGCTACCTGGTCCCCTTTGCTCCCCCATCTTTTACTTTTAGCAGTACGCCCTCCCCCTCACCAAGGGTGCTAATGTTTTTCTGCCAGGGACTGCAGGTGCAACACACTGGTCCCAGAAGCCAGGGGCTTTGCAGGAAAGTTCTGCTGGAAAACCCAGGTAAATATGTTGCCTCAACCCTGAGCTGGGAGTCAGGGTCACTCCAGGACAAGCTTAGTGTGAAGTCCCAGGACTGACTTGGCAAGGTTGGGAGAAATTGAGCAGGGCTCTGGCCAAGCCTGGAAGAAAAAGAAGTCTCAACCAGCTACCCCATTATCCTTAGCAAAGAAATCCCATTCCCTTCTCACTCAAGGCCCTTGAAGTGGCCCTTCTCTATTTTATAATGTTCCCCAACCTTCTTCTACCCTCTCCAGGTCAAAAGCACAGGTTTTGAGCCTGGAATTTCTCAACCTCAGCACTGTTGACATATTGAGCCAGATAATTTCTTGTGTGAGAGGTTCCTCTGTGCATAGTACAAACTGTAGTAACATCCTGTTCTCTGCTTTACATACTAGTAGCAACCCCCCCCAGTTATGACAACCAAAGGTGTCCACAATTGTTTTATGGGGGCCCAAATTCTATTCCAGTTCAGAGTCACTGAGTTAGACATATTCAATTTAGATTCAAATTTCAGCTCTTATAAGCTGTGAGCTTATGGAAGAGACTTTCCTCATCTATAAAATAGGATGAATAATAAATTCATGGTTTCCTGTGGGATTTAAAAGTACTGTTTGAAAATATTTAGCACAGTACTTGGCACACTAACTCACAGTTAGCTTCTTCACTTTTCTTCCTTCAGATCTGTAAGAACTGACCTCACTCAGCATGGACTGGCTGCTCCCAGTGCAGCTGCAGCCTCCCTCCCTGACTACCCAAGATATGAACTGGAAACCCAACATTGAGGTTGTCAAAAGGAAGTGACTGATTTGGTCCCAGATTCCTGAAGCCTAAAGTTGCTTCAGCTGAGATTCAGTAGGAGACCTCAGGGGTGAGGGAGAGGGATTTGTTTGTTTTTTTTTGTGGTACTGGGGTTTAAACTCAGTGCCTACAACTTAAGCCACTCCACCAACCCTATTTCTTTTGTGATTGGTTTTTTGAGATAGGGTCTTGTGAACTATTTGCCTGGGCTGGCTGGGAACCAAGATCCTCCTGATCTCTGCCTCCTGAGTAAATAAGGGGTAAGGCACTGGTGCCCGGCAAGAGGGAAATTTGGGAGTAAAACTGTTACAGAGAATTAGTAGTAGTGGTAGTATGACAGGGGATGAAACTCAGGGCCTTGTCCATGCTAAGCCAACCCTCTATCACTGAGCTATACCTTCTGCCCCAGAACTGTTTTTCAAGATATGCCCTGAAGATTACTGCAACAGAATTATCTAGGATGCTTGGTAAAAATTCTTGGTCTCATTCCATGAGCCTACTGAATCAGAAGTACATCCTAAAGTTTGAAAATCTTTTGGGAGGTGCAGGGATAGGGATGTAGTGCAATATAGAGCACTTGCCTAGGTAGCACACACCAGGCCTGGGTTCGATTCCCAGCATTACACAAAAACAAAACAAACTTCTCTAGGGTTCAGATCAAGGAAGGTGTGATGTCCCAGAAATCCCAGTGCACCAAGTCCCAGCATTGCAAGGACATTTCAATTCCAGGCAGGGAAAGTCATAAACTTTGTACACTCAAGGTCACTACTGTAGTATAAAGTCAACACCACAAGAGGGCATGGCATACACAGACTTGCAGAAAGAAAAAGTTCCTGCTCAGTCTAGGCCAGTTTTATTGGTACTACCTCTTGACCATCAAAATGGGTTCTCTCAACCAGGTGTGGTGGTGCATGCCTGTAATGTCAACACTTGGGGGAGGCAGAGGCAGAAGGATCTTAAGTTTTTGGCCAGCCAAAACTTTGAGTCATAGTGACACTATGACTCAAAAAACAAAAATGAAAACAAAACAAAAAAATGGGTAATTTTCTGGGTTTGATCCCTGGTACCTTAGAAACAAAAAATTAAAAATAAATTAAAAAAAATAGCAGGGCCAGGCACTCGTTGCTCACACCTGTAAATCCTAGCTACTCAGGAGGCAGAGATCAGGAGGATCACGGTTTTAAGCCAGCCCGGGGAAAATAGTTCTTGAACCCCTATCTTGAAAAAACCCTTCACAAAAAAAAAAAGGGTGGTGAAATGGCTCAAGGTGTAGGCCTTGAGGTCAAACCTAGTACAAAAAACCAAACAAACCCAGGTGCTGGTGTAATAGCTGTAATTCTAGCTATTTTTGAGGCTAGATCAGGAGCATAGTGATTCAAGGCCAGCCCATGCAACTAGTTCTCAAGACCCTATCTCCAAAATAACCAGAGCAAAATGGATTGGAGACATGGCTCAAGTGGTAGAGCACCAGCTTTGCAAGCACGAAGCTCTGAGTTCAAGCCTCTGTCCCACCAACAAAAAAAGGGTCTAATGGAAAACATGATCAATTTCATTTTCCAAGTACAGCAATCAGACACAGGGCTCTCCTCTAATCTCAAGTCCCCTAAAAAGCCTAACTAAGGACAAGAGTCTTCTTTTTTTGTGTGTGTGGTACTGGGGCTTGAACTCAGGGCCTTCACCTTGAGCCACTCTGCCAGCCCTTTTTGTGAAGGTTTTTTTCGAGTTAGGGTCTCACAAACTATTTGCCTTTGCCTGGGCTGGCCTCGAACTGTTATCCTCCTGATCTCTGCCTCCTGAGTAGCTGGGATTACAGATGTGAGTCACCTGTGCCTGGCCAGGACAACAGTCTTCCTCTTTTCTTTACTTCTTCTTCTTCTTCTTCTTCTTTTTCAGTGCTAGGGACCGAACTCAGGGCCTTGCACTTGCCAGGCAAATGCTCTTCCACTGAGCTAAATCTCCAATTCCTCTATTCCTCTTTTCTTATTAAGCTTTTTGTTCTTCTGAGGTGCATTAACCCCCACCACTGCACCAAACTCTTAGGAGACTAAAAACAAAATGGTTTTGTTACAGACAACTTCCTGTCTGCCGTCCACATGAGCCAGAACTAAGACTCCTTGAAGGAGTGCTGTGGCTTCAGCACCAAGTCTCTGGTTTCTGTTCCCTATCCCATGCTGCACCCTACCTCCCACCACAGTGGCATCTGCAAAGCTCTGAACATGCTGGCTGGCTCTGTGGCACACAGAAGCAGATCTTAAACAGGAAGTTTTGGGAGAATGTTTCCTTCTAAGAGGGCTGGAGATCTCCCCAGATCTCCCAGTGTTAAAACAGAAAAAGAAAACACGGCTGTAAGCAGGCTGTTAGGAGGGAGGGCTCGAGGGCAGAAAGAAGTCTGGGCACCAGCTTCTGAGTTCCCATTCTACCCTTCAAGCTTCTTTGGCTGGAAAATATAGAGGATAATAACTGTAATAACTGTCCTCCCTATCTCCTAAAGTTTTATGAGGGCAAATGCTTTGAAAAATCAAAAAGCTTCTTGGTTTGAAGAGAGCATGGGGCGGGGGTGGGGGAGGCCGGGAGGGTAGGGATTTGATGTTCAAAGGCCCAGCTCTGCCGCTGTGTGTGCTGACACTTGACGTGAAGGCTGGCATCTCTGAGAAGAGCCTCTCCAGATCCACGTCCTAGCGCGTTCAGGAGAAAGCAGGGAAGGGAGGAAGGTTCTGGGCCCATCAGGATCGCCGTGTTGGCGGGCGGCTGCCTTCTCTTGCAACCCCAAGACCAAGCGAAGCAGGGACCAGGCTGGGGCGGAGCCGCGGGAAGGAGGGAGCAAAGGCCCTAGGGCGGTGACGGTGGCGGTGGCGGTGGCGCTGGCGCCGGCAGGAGGCGGGGTCTCGCCCGGTCCTGTCGAGCCACGTGCTGTTGTTTCCGTGTCGGGGTGATCACATGACTGGCATCAGCTGACCCGTCACGGTGGAGCACAGCGCTGGCGCCCAGCAGCCCCCGCCCCGCCGCACCGGGAGCACAGGAGTCTGCGGAGGGGTAAGAGCGCCACCGGTCTTCCCCTCCTCTGTCGCCGGCTCACACCAACCACCTGCACCCCAGTCCCTAACCCTCGCCCATCCCATCCCGCCCGGCCTGGCACCCCGGAAGCCATCGCGAAGAGGGCCGTGGCCACGCTCAGCCTCACGCTGCCCCCAGGCGGCCAGGAGGAGATGGCCCAAGGGAGCAGAGTGAGGGAAGTCGTTCTTGACAGACGGGCGGAGGGCTGGCCTTCACCCCCAAGCGCCGACATGGAGGAGCTGCTCCGGAGCGTGGAGAGGGACCTGAGCATCGATGCCCGGCAGCTGGCTCCTGCCCCGAGGGGCACCCACGTGGTGGCCTTAGTGCCCGCGCGCTGGCTGGCCAGTCTTCGCGAGCGTCGGCTGGGACCCTGCCCTCGGGTAGAAGGCTTGGGGGAAGCGGAAGTCAGGACTCTCCTGCAACGCTCTGTACAGAGGCTGCCCCCGGGCTGGACACGTGTGGAGGTGCACGGGCTGCGGAAGAGGAGATTGTCCTACCCGCTGGGCGGAGCCCTGCCCTTTGAGGAGGGGTACTGCAGTCCTGAGACTCTCACTCGATTCATGCAGGAGGTGGCTGCTCAGAATTATCGCAACCTGTGGCGCCATGCATATCATACTTATGGGCAGCTCTATAGTCATAGCCCTGCCCCCTGCGCTGCCCCTGCCCTGGACTCAGTAAGACAGGCTCTGCAAAGGGTCTATGGCTGCACCTTCCTGCCAGTGGGCCAAGCCACCCAATGCCCATCTTATGCCAGAGATGGCCCCTGTCCCCCTCGGGGCAGCCCTGCCTGTCCCAGCCTCTTACAGGCTGAGGCCTTGCTAGAGTCATTGGAGATGCTGTATGTGGTACACCCATATGTGCAGTTCTCCCTCCATGATGTAGTCACCTTCAGTCCTGCCAAGCTGACCAACAGCCAAGCCAAGGTGCTTTTCATTCTCTTCCGTGTGCTGAGGGCCATGGATGCCTGTCACCGTCAGGGGCTGGCCTGCGGGGCTCTGTCTTTACACCACATTGCTGTGGATGAGAAGCTTTGCAGCGAGCTCCGGCTGGACCTGAGTGCTTATGAGTTGCCCACAGAAGATGAGAACAAAGAGGCCCCTGTAGTTAGGGATGGGACAGTCATTAAGTTTGAAAAGGAGGGGACAGGGAGACCTGGGTGCCTCACTTGCCAAGAAGAGCTTAGGGGCCTTGTGCTAGACTGGGTCCATGGCCGCATCAGCAACTTTCACTACCTCATGCAGCTGAATCGGTTGGCAGGTCGGCGGCAGGGGGATCCCAACTATCACCCAGTGCTGCCCTGGGTGGTGGACTTTACCACGCCCCATGGGCGCTTCCGAGACCTGCGCAAATCCAAGTTCCGTCTCAACAAGGGGGATAAGCAACTGGATTTCACTTATGAGATGACGCGACAGGCATTTGTAGCAGGCGGTGCAGGTGGCGGGGAGCCACCTCATGTTCCTCATCACATCTCAGATGTGCTGTCTGATATCACATACTATGTATACAAGGCTCGGCGCACACCCCGGTCAGTACTCTGTGGACATGTCCGAGCACAGTGGGAGCCCCATGAGTATCCCGCCAGCATGGAGCGGATGCAGGCCTGGACACCTGATGAGTGCATCCCTGAGTTCTACACTGATCCCTCCATCTTTTGCTCTATCCACCCTGACATGCCTGACCTGGATGTGCCAGCCTGGTGCAGCTCCAGCGAGGAGTTTGTGGCTGCCCACCGAGCACTGCTGGAGAGCCCAGAGGTGTCCCAGGACCTGCACCACTGGATTGACCTCACCTTCGGCTACAAACTCCAGGGCAAGGAGGCTGTGAAGGAGAAGAATGTGTGTCTGCACCTGGTGGATGCTCACACCCACCTGACCAGCTATGGTGTAGTGCAGCTCTTCGATCAGCCACACCCTCAACGCCTCGCTGGGGCTTCTGCCCTTGCCCCTGAGCCTCCACTCATCCCCCGGCTGTTGGTCCAGACCATCCAGGAGACCACTGGCCGGGAGGACTTCCCAGGACAGCTTACAAATGGGGTGGGCAGGCTGGTTTTAGAGGCTACTCCATGTGAGGCTGGCTGGACTAGAGACAGGTCCTTGGCAGGGGAAGAAGACTTAGAGCAGGCCACAGAAGCTCTGGATTCCATCTCCCTTCCTGGGAAAGCAAGTGACCTGCTGGGTTCTTCTTCCAGTCAAGCTCCTGCAGGCCTCCTGTCTTTTTCAGTGGCCTCAGCCTCTCGACCAAGCCGCAGGAACAAAGCCACTGGGGCAGACCCTGGGGAGGGTGAGGAGGGGAAGATCCTTCTTCCTGAGGGCTTCAGTCCTTTGCAGGCCCTGGAGGAGCTGGAAAAAACAGGCAACTTCTTGGCCAAAGGTCTAGGGGGCCCATTGGAGGTGCCTGAGCAGTCTCAGATCCAGCCACATGTGCAGCTGCAGGACCTCTTCCATCGGGACATGCAGGCACTGGGTGTGCTTTTGGCTGAGATGGTGTTTGCCACCAGGGTTCGGACGCTACAACCTGATGCACCTTTGTGGGTACGCTTTGAGGCTGTTCAGGAGCTCTGTACACGCCATGCCAAAGAGGTCCCTGTGTCTTTGCAACCTGTACTGGACACACTTCTGCAGCTGAGTGGACCCAAAGGCCCCATGGTTGCAAAGCGGGGCAAGCTGAACCCACTGTTTGAGTACAGACCTGTCTCCCATGGGTTACCCCCGCCCTGCCCAGCCCAGCTCCTCAGCCCCTTCAACTCTGTGGTTCCCTTCCCTCCGTACTTCCCGGCACTGCACAAGTTCATCCTCCTGTACCAGGCAAGGCGTGTGGAGGATGAGGCCCAAGGACGGGAGCTGGTGTTTTCTCTGTGGCAGCAACTGGGCTCAGTACTAAGTGATATCACTCCCGAGGGCCTGGAGATCCTATTGCCCTTCGTGCTGTCACTCATGTCTGAAGAGCACACAGCCGTGTACACAGCCTGGTACCTATTTGAACCTGTTGCCAAGGCACTGGGCCCCAAAAATACCAATAAGTACCTCCTGAAGCCTCTCATTGGTGCCTATGAGAGCCCTTGTCAGTTGCACGGCCGCTTCTACCTGTACTCGGATTGCTTTGTGGCTCAGCTGATGGTGCGGCTTGGCTTGCAGGCCTTTCTGGTCCACCTACTTCCCCATGTCCTGCAGGTGCTAGCTGGTGTGGAGGCCTCCCAGGAGGAGAGCAAGGGCCTGGTTGAGGCCACTGAAGATGAGGAAATCGAGCTCCCAGGGCCTGGTCCTGGCTCCTGTGCCTTTGGGGAAGAGATTCAGATGGATGGGGAGCCTGCCACCTCCTCAGGCCTGGGGCTCCCAGACTACAAATCAGGCGTCAGTTTCCATGACCAGGCTGACCTCCCTGAGACAGAGGACTTCCAAGCCGGCCTCTATGTGGCTGAGTCTCCACAACCCCAGGAGGCTGAGGCTGTGAGCCTGGGCCGGCTGAGTGACAAGAGCAGCACCAGCGAGACCTCCTTGGGCGAGGAGCGGGCTGCAGATGACGGGGCTGCCCCTGTGGATAAGAGTAGCCTCAGGTCAGGTGACAGCAGCCAAGACTTGAAGCAAAGTGAGGGCTCTGAGGAGGAAGAAGAGGAGGAGGAAGGCTGTGTGGTGTTGGAGGAGGAGGAGGGGGAGCAGGACGAGGTTACTGGAGCCTCTGAGCTCACTCTGTCTGACACAGTGCTGTCCATGGAGACAGTTGTGACCAGTGGTGGCAGGGGAGACAGAGAGGAGGAGGAGGAGGAGCCCCTGATGGAGCAGTCTGAAGGCAAAGAACAGAAGATCCTCCTTGGTGAGTTCTCAGGTCTGATAAGTGTGAATCTGTCACTCCCCCACTTTTCCCTCTGCATTTGCTGCACTCATGCTCTGTTGCCAAGCAGTGGGTCCAGCCAAATCCATGCAGCACAGACATAGGCTACTTTCATGGAGTCCACATTCAGCAAAGGTGGTGGTCGATAGTCTGATGCAGTATAATATGTTAGTACTACGAGTGAATGGAAAATGGAGCTTAGTTTCAGGGGTCAGAGAAAGCTTCCTTGAGAGTAGGGATACTTAGGGTTTGGGATGTAGCTCAGTGGTAGAGCATTTGCACAAGGCCCAGCGACACAAAAAAACATAAATCTAAAGAAGATAAGAACAGTTGAGGTCAAGTAGGAGTGCAAAGTAGGCAAAAATGATGGTGCATAAAGTGGGAAGAGCATTTCAGGTGGAAGGAACAGCATGTGCAAGGCTCTGTAGTGCTTATGGTTCCATCAGAGAAGCAGTAAAAGGCCAGCATGGTTTGGTTGAGACAGCAGAGGGCAGAGAAGCTAGAGATAGCCAGGGGTCAGACCAGGCCTCTTTCAGAAGCTTGGATAGATTCACTGACAGAGTGGCCTTCCTGTAGCTTGTGCATGAGGAGAGGAGCCTGAAGCAGCCAGTTCCATGGGCCTTGGCCTCGTACCTCTCCCACTGCTAAATGGAGGGGGACTGGTGTGGAACCACCAGGCTTAGGCCAGGCTTACTTGCAGAGCTGCAGCCAGAGTTGGCTAAGTGGGGTGTGGTGCTGTGGTAGAGTGGGAGGGTGAGGAATACTGTTATCTGATGAGCTCAGGGCCTGCTCCTGCCCCACAGACACAGTCTGCAAGATGGTCCGCTGGCTGTCTGCCAAGCTTGGCCCCACCGTGGCCTCTCGCCACGTGGCCCGGAACCTGCTGCGCCTGCTGACGTCTTGTTATGTTGGTAAGGCCTGTGGTCAGTGCTGGAGACCGGGTCGCCTCCCAGACCTCCACCCATCTTCAGCTCTCTCTATGGGATCCTTCTACCCCCTCCTCAGACCACTTCCTGGGTAGGACAGGCTGTAAACTCTGTCCTTCTTTAGGTAGGGCCCGGGGCAGATCCCAGGCTAGAATGAGCATGAGTGATTCCCACAGTCCTGGAAGGCTCACCTCCCTCCTGCTCTCTGCTAACTACCTAAGGATGCTGGCCCTTCTTTGGCAGGGCCCACTCGGCAGCAGTTCACGGTCAGCAGTGGTGAGAGCCCCCCGTTGAATGCTGGTAACATCTATCAGAAGAGGCCTGTACTGGGCGACATAGTGTCGGGGCCTGTTCTCAGCTGCCTCCTCCACATTGCTCACCTGTATGGGGAGCCTGTTCTCACCTACCAGTACCTGCCCTACATCAGCTACCTGGTCAGTCGCAGGTTTGGCAGGCCCGGGGTGGGGAGGCTGAGGACCCAAAGGCGGCCTAAGATCTCTGGGGAATTAGGTGATTCAGTGGGTCAGCTTGGCCCTCATCTACTCTCTGGTCCCAGGTGGCCCCAGGTAGCAACTCAAGTCCTAGCCGACTGAACAGCCGCAAGGAGGCAGGACTGCTCGCCGCAGTGACACTGACTCAGAAGATCATTGTGTACCTCTCAGACACCACCCTCATGGACATCCTGCCCCGGATCAGCCATGAGGTCCTGCTACCTGTGCTCAGCTTCCTTACTTCCCTCGTCACAGGGTAGGCTCCTGTCAGTCCCTGTGAGGAAGCTGCCTGGCTGAGGGCACCCCGGAAGGAGGGGCTGGGCAGCTCAGGGGCAAGGAGATAACATTGGGCTAGGTGTTCTGGTTCTGCGGCAAGGTGCCAGAGCACTAACCTAGCATGCATGAGGCACCAAGTTTGATCTACAGCACTACAAAAAAAAAAAAAATGGGGGGGAGGTCCTGGTTCTGATCCTAGTTCTAATTCTAAGTGCCCACACCATTTTCCTGGGCCTCAGGTTCTTCATCTGGTTTGGAGCAACTGATCTTAGAGTTCCTTTCATTTAAAGCTCTTAATAGCATGGTGGGATCCTGCAGAGTAGGGCCTGGCACTACAAGCTTTGTTTCTAGGTTCCCAAGTGGGGCCCAGGCCCGGACTGTCCTGTGTGTGAAGACCATCAGCCTCATCGCCCTCATCTGTCTGCGCATTGGGCAGGAGATGGTCCAGCAGCATCTGAGTGAGCCCGTGGCTACCTTCTTTCTAGTTTTCTCTCAGCTGCATGAGCTGCGGCAGCAGGTGGGCTGAGCTTCTGGGCTGGGGTGGCCAGAGCTGGGACTGTGAACTCACTGACTCTCTGGGCTTTGTGCCTCAGGATCTGCAGCTGGATCCTGAGGGCTGTGGTGAGGGCCAATTGCCAGAAGCGACTTTCTCTGATGGGCAGCGGCGGCCGGTTGATCCTACCCTGCTGGAAGAGCTGCAGAAGGTGTTCACTCTGGAGATGGCATACACAATCTACGTACCCTTCTCCTGCCTGCTGGGTATTGCCCTGTTATGATCCCTTGAATAGCCTTGGTGGCTTCATCTCTTCCCTGGGGTGGGCCCCATGCTCTACCCCAGTGTTAGCAGTAGTTCTTCTTTTTTTCTTTTTCTTTGCTGAGACAGGGTCTTGCTATGTAGCCTAAGCTGTCTTCAAACTCACAGTCCTCTTGCCTCAGCCTCCTGAGTACTGGGGTGCATCACCATGCCTGGCTTATGGTGGGTTTTAAGTACAGTTTTTTTTGGGTCAGATCAAAGGCTTCAGACCCCAAGTCCCAAAGTGACATGTAAACAGTGACTGAGCATTAGCCAGCAAGAGGCTCAGGAGCTAGCCCGTAGTGTCTCTGGGGAAGAGAAGGGAGTCAGGTTGATTGCTGATGATCTCCAGATGTCTGCAAAGGAATGAATAACTTGCCATTTTCACATCCTGTCCCCTACCACAGGGCAGGAGCTATGCTGGGCATTTCTACAGGTTATCTCCCAGAATAGGATGGACAGCCCTGTGGTTAGATGTGTTGTTATTCTCCCCGCCACTGGATTCCAAGTTCTGGGAGGGCAGGGATGCCTATCTCGTTCACCATTTTATTTCTGATGCCTAGGATGGAGTTAGCACATAGACAACACTCATGGGGATATACTGGCTGAAGGAATTTTATTGGGCTCTGAGGCTCAGAGACAAGGACTTACTTGCCCAGAGTTGCCCAGTCAGTACTTCCTCTGTCTTCTATGGTTCCTAAGTCACAGAGTGGTAGCAACCACCTGCCATCTTTCCTGATCTTCGGACCTCTCCCACTCCCTTCCAGGTGACATCATCCGGAAAATCATCCCCAACCATGAACTGGTTGGGGAGCTGGCAGGGCTATATCTGGAAAGCATCAGCCTGAGCTCTCGCAATCCTGCTAGCCTGGAACCCACTATGCCCAGTGCCGGCCCTGAGTGGGACCCCCAGGGTGGGGGCTGTCTCCAGGATGATGGTCACTCAGGGACTTTTGGGAGTGTCCTGGTTGGAAATCGCATCCAGATCCCCAGCGACTCTCAGTCTGAGAACCCTGGGCCGCTGGGCCCCATCTCTGGGGTGGGTGGTGGGGGCCTTGGCAGCAGGAGTGAGGACAATGCCCTGAAGCGGGAGCTTCCTCGGAGTGCCCACGGGCTGAGCGGGAACTGGCTGGCGTACTGGCAGTATGAGATTGGTGTGAGCCAGCAGGATGCTCACTTCCACTTCCATCAGATCCGCCTGCAGAGCTTCCCAGGCCACTCAGGGGCTGTCAAGTGTGTGGCACCCCTGAGCAGCGAAGACTTCTTCCTGAGTGGTAGCAAGGACCGTACTGTGCGCCTTTGGCCACTGTACAACTATGGGGATGGTACCAACGAGACAGTCCCCCGCCTCATCTATGCCCAGCACCGGAAAAGTGTCTTCTATGTGGGCCAGCTTGAGGCCCCTCAGTATGTGGTGAGCTGTGACGGGGCTGTGCACATCTGGGACCCCTTCACAGGTGAGCAGGCCCAGGTGAGGCCACTTCTGTTTCTATTATACTTATGCTCTGCCAGACTGCTGGGAATGGGCCTCAGTGTATGATTGTATAATGGTGTGCTTTGCCAGGAGAGCCAATGAGGCCACACGGAAGAACAGTTAGGGCTTAAAATTTGAAAGAAAAACTGGTTTAGAAAATAATGTACCTAGGGGGTTTGATTTAATGGTTAGTATGCAGCATATATTTGGCAAATGATTGCCTAATCTCTTTTTAGCATCATTGTTAGAGAAGAGAAGGGAATTGGAGTAGTTTTGGATAGACGGAGGTGGTATCAGGGTTGCCATGTGAAGACAGAAAATTGCTTTGGGGATGGGAGTCTGGTGTTGCCACAAAAGTAGGCCAGAACATCTTTGGTGTTTTTACTGAGGATCCCTGGAGAATGGGAGGCAAGTCTGGGCTAAGTCAGGGAGCTCAAAGGGGCCAGGGCTCTTCCATCAGCTGCTGGGACCCCAGAAGCACTGTGCCGTTCTTTCCCAGGGAAGATCCTTCGCACAGTGGAGCCATCAGACAGCCGAGTGCCTCTGACTGCAGTGGCCGTCATGCCTGCCCCCCACACCAGCATCACCATGGCCAGCTCTGACTCTACCCTACGCTTTGTGGACTGTAGGAAGCCTGGCCTGCAGGTCAGGGGGTGTCTAGTCCTGCCATCCTTGGCCTGGGTCTCTGGGGACCTGGGAGGGAGGTGACTCACACAGAGAAAGCTAGGACGCTAGCCTGGGGCACTTGTTAATGTCTCTCTGGTGATGGGTCTACCCATAGCAGCAACTCGGGGGTGTAGAACTCTATGGCCTGTGAGAGGGTGGGGTTCTGGGCTTTTCCTTTCCCTGAATGGGGCTAGAGGCTCAGACCTTCTGCCCAAGAGGGTTTGGGTGGTGAGCAGGGCCTCAGGAAGGGTGGATGGGATAGGTGGTGGCCCCTCAGGACCGTCTCCTTCTGTTTGCAGCATGAGTTCCGACTGGGTGGTGGGCTGAACCCTGGGCTTGTTCGCTCCCTGGCAGTCAGCCCTAGTGGCCGTAGTGTCGTGGCTGGCTTCTCCTCGGGCTTCATGGTGCTCCTGGACACTCGCACGGGCCTAGTTCTGCGAGGCTGGCCAGCCCATGAGGGGGACATTCTGCAGATCAAGGTGATAGTCCCCTTTCCCACCCCACCGCCCAGCTCCAGCCCCTCACATCTGCTTAAGGACTCTGGGGAAGGAGGCGGGAGGGAAGAGGAGATGAACACATGACAGGCTTGGACTAGTGTCCCTAACACCTATCCAGGGACTGATGGGCAGAGAGAGCAGCCTTCCTGGGCCAACTCAGGAGCCAACTGCACCGTAGGGGCCTTGGCAGGAGGCAGGTGGGGGGTGAGAACCAGGGGCAGAGCTGGCACTGCTGTTCTGTGGGGATGTTCTAATGAGTAACCCTTGTCCATATTTGTCTTGCATGGAGGATCAGGGTCGGGCCCTGTCCGTGACCCAGTTCAGGTTAAATAAAGCTCAGCTGAGAGGCTGTTTACTGCCTCCAGACCACTGAGCAGAGTCCATGCCTCCTGCTGGGCTGCCCTGATGGGGGCAGGAGCAGGAGTAGCCTGCCTGGGCATGGGGATTCTGTTCCCACTCCCCCCACACCTCATTCTCAGCCACAGGCCTCAGGGAGCCGCCCGGCCAGATCCAGGAGAGGAGGAATGGGCTACTTGTGGGAGGATTTCTCCAGGCACCTGGGATTCTCTTCCCAAGCTTGGGTGGAGGCCAGGGGACATTCATTGCTAATGCCCCTGGCTCCTCCAGGGCCCCAGGGGACCCTGGGTCCCAAGTGTCTCTAAACTCTGACATTCTAAGAAAGTGTCAGGAGGGCTCTGGGATCAGCTGGGTATTAATCCTGGCTGTCCGTGACCTTGGTATGATTAGTTAGCATCTCTGAATCTCAGTTTTTTCCTATGTAAAACAGGGATGGTAGTGGCAGCGACCCCATAGGGGGATACCTACGCAGAATAAGTTCTCATGAGAGCAATGACTAGGTTAGTGACCATATATTAATAGTAATCATAGTTAATATGATGTGGCAGGGTGGCAGCCTATCATCCCTTAGGATGGCCTGTCTTCCCTGTGCAAAAATGGGAAGACTTTGGGGCTCTGTGGATGTACAGGATGTTCCTGGTCTCCACTAAGGCTCTCTTCTCTCCCTGCCCCCTCCCTACCGGCAGGCAGTAGAGGGCAGCATCCTGGTCAGCTCCTCCTCTGACCACTCCCTGACCGTCTGGAAGGAGCTGGAGCAGAAGCCCACACACCATTACAAATCAGCATCTGACCCCATCCATACCTTCGACCTGTACGGCAGTGAGGTGGTCACTGGCACTGTAGCCAACAAGATTGGTGTCTGCTCCCTGCTGGAGCCCCCCTCCCAGGCCACCACGAAGCTCAGTTCTGAGAACTTTCGTGGCACACTCACCAGCCTGGCCTTACTACCCACTAAACGCCACCTCCTGCTAGGTTCAGACAATGGTGTCATCCGCCTCCTAGCATAGGCTGAGGTGGAAACTGACTGGACGGGGGCAAGCTGACAGTAAAGCTGAGAGTAAAGCTCCTTGCCTTGATTTCCTAGCAGCTCCCTCCAGGCAGGTATCAGGTCCTAGTCCCTGTGTACCCACATGGCCTGCCAGCTAGGGCCTCCAACGGGGGTCCCAGTCCCTGACTCTCCAAAGCCATGAGGGCTGCCAGAGGGGTTCTCACTCATGCCTTGAGGAGCTGCAGCTACTAGCCAGTAGGAAGCAAGGAGAGCAGGGGAATCATTGCGAGCCCCATTTCTCCCCGCTTCTGCCCTCTGGATCCACACAGGGACAAGGAAGCTTCAGGAGGGGAAGGCAGACTGGCCTTGCCCAGCCAGTCTCTAGCCAACCTCTCCAACCCCTGCTGGGCTCTCCCTGCCCTGTCCCCCAAGGACAGGAAGCTGTCCCAGTCCAGGGCACTGATGGTGCTTGGACTACAGAAGGGCTAAGGAAGGCTGGTCATGACCCAGGACGTAAAGACCTTGGTCTTTAAGCACCTACCCAGCCAGGCCCTGCCCAGTATGGAACCAAAAGGAGAAGAAAGACGGAAGGACCAGGGGAGAGAAGGTGGACTGGGCCAACTGGTGCCTGCCAGGAGGTACTCCATGCCTTGCCCGCCCGCCCCTAACCACAGTGTTTGTGCCTTGAGCTGAGGAGGCAGCCCCTGAGCCCAAAACCTCTGGGGGTGTGCAGTCCAAGGTCCTGAGAGAAGGGACAGAAGAAAAGCTCTGAATCTCAGGTCTCTCCCAAGGGACAGGAAGACTCAGGCATCTCTTGAGTCCTCACCTGGAGCAGAGCTGAGGTCTGATGTTTGGTCCCTGCTGTCTCCTCACTATTTGCAATAGATGTAAATATAATCAATAAATCCTTTCAAGGAGCCATGCAGCAGAGTGAGGTTTGTCTTATTTATTTTATTTATTTTTTTTGAGCTAAGATCTCTCTATGTAGCTCAGGCTGGACTCAAGGAATTCTCCCGCCTCAGCCTCCCAAGCAGCTGAGGTGTGTGCCATCATGCCTGGGTTGATGATGGAGGAAGTTGAGACTCAGCAGTTTCCAGGGCAGTGAGGAGGAGGCGAGAAGCAGGGCAGGAGGGTGGGCAAGCAGCCCGATCATTGTTCTTTGGGTGGCCCTAGGGAGCAGAGCTGGTTTGTGCAGTCCCAGGCCAGTTTTTGGGACAGTAAGCAAGCATTGCTCCTGAAAAGGTAGGATGCAGGGAGAAGTTTATCCCTCTGCACCTCTCTTTTCTCCACCCCCTGCCCTTGGAGGCCAAAGGCAACCAACCAGAATCTTGGGCTTGGAAGGTTGGGGGTGGGATCTCTGCATAGGCTCCAGAAGCCTTTCCCTCTCCTCCCCTTGAACAGCTGTGAGGGGAGAAAGACATTGGAAGTGGAAATCTGAATGTGACTGGGCCAGCTTTGTGTCCTCAGGCAGGTCATGTAGCCTCTCTGAGCCTGACAGACCAAGGATAATCCCCACCTGTGGGGATATTAGGACTGACACAGTGTCAGGTCCCTGTGTGTCCTGGATCCGCCCTCCTGGCTGACCAGACACAGCCTCCCCAACTGTGTCCTGAACCTCCCTTTTCCAGCCTCAGGTAGGACCCAAATCCAGGGGGTCTTTGGACAGCTGTTTCAGGATTACACATCCTGGTGGGAAAGGGGCTTCTGGCCCCCATATCAATGTTTAACCGGATGTGCAGGTCAATATTTACCAGTAGAGAAAGCAAGCTGAACAGGGGTTGGTTAAGAGCAAAGGTCCAGGTGGGAGGGGAGGGCTAGGCTGGGCTGGCTGGAGCTGGGCAGAGCGTGGGGAGCACGTAAGTGGGGCGAGAGGAACAGAGGAACATCTTGTGCGGTGGCAAGGAGCCTGCAGAGGTAGGATGGAGGGTGGTTCAGCCTGCTCCTTGCACAGCAGAGGAGGTGGGGAGGTGCCCACTTGACTGAGGGGTCTGGGCTGAATTTATTCACGACTGTAGTTTCTAAGCCTCCTGGTGTGGTAAAGAGCCAAAGTGGGGGTTCCAAGAAAAGTCCCTCTGGGACTTAAAAAACTGGAGGCCTTTTCTTGCCAGGAATATTCAAATGCCCAGGTTGGAGGTCAGGCCTGGCCAAGGGCCCTTGTGAGTTATGGGGGGGTGGGGGTGGGGAGGAGGGTGATAGAAGGATCTTCCAGCCTTCTGGAAGGGGTGGCACTGAGACGGGTGAGGTACAGGTGGAGAGTGTGATGCCTTCTCTGAGGTCAAGGTCAAGGCTAATTTATCCTCCCCCAGACCAGGATCTGCCCATCCCCACCTACCAGTCTGGCTTCTCTGAACAGGCCTGGGACAGAGTGAGGGGCAGAGTCGGGGATGAGGCCTGTGATTCCCGTAAGTCCAAAGGTGTCTTGACCAGAGTCATTCATTGGGCTCTGCTGCTTGGTCAACACAGTAGCCTGTTGGACGTCCCACTATTCTTGCTGTGACCTCAGGGCCTCACAGGCCTGTTCACTCTCGTGGGCAAGACTTGACCAGCGTGAGAAAGGTTGGCAGATGGACAGCAGGTTGGATGGGAGCTTTGGGTTGGGAGCCCTTTCCACAAGAGCATGCCCAGAGCTAGGCTGACAAATGCCATCCACTGAGTGCCAGGTGTCAGGCATGTGCTCAGCATTTACAAAGACCATCTTTATTTTGGTCCTCACAATCTGCATGGGAGGAGATAAGGACCGTTTTATAAGATAAGGAGGCAAAGCTCAAAGGGGTTAAGGGATGCACCCAAGGTCCTCTGGCAAGAGACGCAGACTAGATTCAAACCCCCATTGGGAAGAATGAGGGCTCTAACAACCCCCATTGACCAAGATATCCTTGGCGCATGAGAAGTGAAAAACCAGAAACTAAACTACAAAGGGGGGAAACGTCAGGGGGACGTCCTACCCTTCAGATTGAGAAACCCTGCTAAATGTGTTCTGGATGTGTACCCTGGTTCTGCAGATCTGTCAGTGAACGTGGGTAGGATTCCACCGCCTGGTGTGGGAGTGTGAAGTGGGAACTGAGCCTTCTGGTCCCTGATATAGGACACAGGAACATGGTGCTGCTCCAGGGGCTCTTGGTGTTCAGCTTGTCCTGCCTGCAAGGCCCCTGCTTGGTGGTGAGGCTGGGCTGAGGACTTGGTGGGGTAGGGTCAGTCAAGTCGAAGAAGATGCTGGGGATGGGGGGTGGAGGAAAGTCAGAGGGGCTGAGGGGGAAGAAGGTGCTGGAATCCAGGGAGGGCTTGGCTCTGAAGTGCCTCTACCTCCTATTCTCATTTTCTCAACAGTTCTCGCCTGTGAATGCCATGGAGTCCTTTGACCAGCAGGTACTGGAGAGTGAGGGGTATCTGTGGGAGGGAGGGACTGAAGGATCTTTCCTCACCTGTGGCTTGGGCAGGGTGGGGGAGCTATGGGAAGGGTTACTCTCCATCTGCTTTCTCCTTTCTACAGCCAAATAGCAGTCAGACTCAGGAGAAGCTGCCCCTGCTGTCCCTCCTCAAGTTGGGCAACCAGGTATAACCAGGTGGGGCTAAGGAAGAGTGGGCAGGGCCAGGAAACTGGTGGCATGGCTGTGGGGCTGACAGTTTGGAGTCCAGAAGGGTAGGGGTGGGAATGACCCCCATGTGACTCTCCCCTTTTCTCGGGTCTGGGACAAGGCCCTGCTGCCTTCTCAACAGAGAACCTGGAGCTGACACCTTGACCTCACTGACCCCTGATCTGTCCCTGTAGGAGCCTGATGGCCAGACTGCCCTGAAAAGGTCCCCGGGAGACTGCAAGGGTGCCCCAACCCCGGAGGAGACCCGCAGGCTGGCCCAGGCCATGATGGCTTTCACTGCTGACTTGTTCTCTGTGGTGGCTCAAACGTCCACCAGCCCCAATCTCATCCTGTCACCCCTGAGTGTGGCCCTGGCACTGTCTCACCTGGCACTAGGTACTGTGGCAGCACCTGTCCAGCAGAACTGGGAGGCCAGTAGGAACTTATTGCTGCAAAGGTTTTTAGTGGGTGGCTCCTCCTTCAATGTCACATGGACATTTGGTAAAAATGCAGGTTCCTGGGCCCTTACCAGCCACTAAGAACCAGATTCCCAGGGCCTGGGCCTGAGAATGTGCTTATTCACTAATCTCCCTAGTGGTTTTTGTGCAAGAGTTTGATATCGACAGTAATATGAGAGTTGATCCCATTGTGGGAAACTGAGGTCCAGAGAGGGAAGGCAACTTGAGTGAGATGAGGTTGCCCAGCCTGTCAGCCACAGTGATGGAAGTGGAATTAGGAGTCCTGTCACTCAGTGGCTGTAGGAGGAGAACATGTGGTTTCATGAGCATACTCACCACGGACATGTGAGAAGGTTGGAGTGGGCAGTGGGGGTGGGAATGAACCCTGGGCCTAGGCCTCAGACCACATGGTCCTGTCCAGGTGCTCAGAACCAAACATTGCGGAGCTTGCAACAGGTGCTGCATGCAGACTCCGGGCCCTGTCTCCCCCATCTGCTGAGCCACCTCTGCCAGAACCTGAGCCCTGGGACATTCCGACTGGCTGCCAGAATGTACCTACAGAAAGGTAGCTGCCGAAGGAGGGAGCTAGGCAGTGCCCTGCAGTAGACAAGGGGGAGGGCTCAGACTTAACCTCAGGTAGCCATTGGGAGCATTGGTGGCTGTGGAGCCTGGAGCCCTGGGATCAGCTTGTGGCCCTTTGTGTGCAGGATTTCCCATCAAAGAGGATTTCCTGGAACAATCAGAAGAGCTCTTTGGTGCGAAGCCTGTGAAATTGATGGGAAGGCAGGAGGAAGACCTGGCAAACATCAACCAATGGGTGAAGGAGGCCACGGAAGGGAAGATTGAAGATTTCCTTTCAGAGCTGCCTGATAACACGGTGTTACTTCTCCTCAATGCCATCCACTTTCAGGGTGCGCTCTCCTTCTCAAGCCCCCCACCTTAGCATGCCAACCCTACCCTGACGGCTGAGAGGAGCTGGGTAGGCTTCCTTCTGAGGGTGCTTCTTCCTCCTCAGACCAGGCTGTTAGGCAGGGGGCTGTCCTGGTGTGGTGGGAGGGGGCCCAGGAACTGGATTGTTGAAAGCAGAGTGCCTTGGGAGAACACTAGAGCTGCAAAGACCCAGGGAAGTTTCCTGGGAGCATTGCAGAGAGTGGTGAAACTATGACCCCAGATTTCAAAAATACTATAAGGAAAAGACTTCAGACCAACTGGGTGCCAGGTAGTACAGTACTGCCTAGGGTCTTGACCTCTACTTCTTCCTTGAATGGGTTCTGGGTGGAATGGGCAAGAGGTGGGTCCAGTCTTCATGGCCCCTGCCTCTGCCTGGCCACAGGTTTCTGGAAGAGCAAGTTTGACCCGAGCCTCACCCAAAGAGACTTCTTCCACCTAGATGAGCAGTTCACAGTGCCAGTGGACATGATGCAAGCACACTCGTACCCTCTGCGCTGGTTCCTGCTGGAGCAGCCTGAGATACAGGTCACCCTGGGCTGCCCAGCAGACCTAGGTGCTGGGAGGTGGGAAGGGAGGGAAGGCTGTGGAGTGAAGGGGGTGTCCCACCTTCCTTGCAGTCCTGACCCAGGTCAGGCAGTTCTGAAAGGTTCCACTGTTCCCCTGCACAGGGGGACTGAGATCCCAGGCTTTTTGAGGCTCATTCATTCAAGGAAAATATATTAGTCATTTGCTATGGGCCAGATACTGTTCTAGGCACTGGGGTTCTAGTGGAGCACAAGGGAGACAGTGCCCCGCTCTTAAGAGGGGAAGAATCCAGTATCATGATCATTTCAGATAGTAAGTGCTATGAAAGAGAAAGAAAAAGGTGATCTGTTAATGACTGGGTCAGGGAGAATTCTTTGAAGACTGGGCATTGAGCTGAGACCCAGGTAACCTTTGGCAATGAGGGTTTATTACAAGAACCTGTGTGTTGTGAGCCAGCACAGGGACCACCTTAGAATCCACTCAGGGTCTCAGCATTCCAAAGCCTGGAAGATTTGACCTGAGTTCTCACCCAGTGCTTCTTAGAAGGGAGGATCCTATTGGGTTGGATTTCTCAGCATCTTGCACAGAACATTCTGATTGGACGGAGTTCTGTGCCAAGCTGCCTCAGGTATGACTTTCCTTGCTTCTAGCCTAATGTGGTCCCTTTGACTGGGATACTGAGCTGTGGACCAGTGAGCTGCAGCTGACATGGCAGTGTTGGTTTGTTTTGCAGAGCAAGCATGACATATTCCAGCACTTAGGAGGCTGAGGCAGGAGGACCTCCAGTTCCAGGTCAACCAGGGATACATCGCAAGACCTTGTTTCAAAAAAAAAAATCTTAATTCCAAATTTTAGCATTTGTGCACAGCTGGCAAAGTCATTAGGTGAAGGTGAAAGGGAGTGGAGAGGGTACCACCGTTGTCCTTTGCAGTGACTCCTCCACAGAACGCAAGCACAGTTTGAAAACCAGAGACCCTGCCCATTGTACACAAGGAGAACTGAGAGGCAAAGTTTCCTTAGCCTATTTGCACAGCTACCCAGGAGCAGATGAAGAGAGAGAGAGAGAGAGAGAGAGAAAGGGAGAGAGACAGAGAGAGACCCACCATTTACTGAGCGCAGTTTATGAGTTCAAACACTGCTAGAAGATTTCAAAGCATTATCTCATTTGCACACTTGTCAAGCTGCCTTGGAGCAGGTGATCATCTGTCTGAGAAATACAGAGGTACACGCTGGTCCAGACCCAGCTAGGTTTGGGTGCTTTCATCATGTTCTCTCGTTCCCTTATCTGTAGGTGGCTCATTTCCCCTTTAAGAACAACATGAGCTTTGTGGTCATGGTGCCCACACACTTTGAATGGAACGTGTCCCAGGTACTGGCCAACCTGAGCTGGGACACCCTGCACCAGCCCTCGCTGCGGGAGAAGCCCACCAAGGTGCGGCTGCCAAAGCTGCATCTGAAACACCAGCTGGACCTGGTGGCCACCCTCAGCCAGCTGGGTAAGGAGGTTGGGCATGGGAGAGCCCTAGGTGGGGCTGGGCAGGTGGATGAGGAAAGGCTTCCAGCTGGCAGTAGGTCTGAGTCCTGGAGGAGAGGGTATGATATGATCCTCTGGATCTTCTGTCCTGGGGTGAGCAGGGCAACCCAGGGCATAGGGACCTACTCTGCTGCCCAAGACTGAGTACTACAAAAAATTCTGGGAAGAGAGCCCAGGGTGGCATGTGAGCCTTGCTGGTTATCCTATAAGGTGAGGGAGGAGAAGCTGGAGTGTCACACTGTTAAAGAGATACATTTACCAGGTGTAGTGGTATATGTCTATAATCCCAGATACACAGGAGGCATAAATAGGAGAATGGTGGTCTGAGATTAGCCCAGGCAAAAGCACAAGACCCTTTCTGAAAAACAAACTAAAGCCAAAAGGACTGGCAGCATGGCTCAAGTGGTAGAGCACTTGCCTAGCAAGTACAAGGCCCTGAGTTCAAACCCTAGTGCTGCCAAAAAAAAAAAAAAAAAAAGAAAGAAAAAAAAGAAATGAATTTACTCATCAGCCCTATGAAGCAACTTCTATATTCCAGGCACTATACTAGGCACTGGCAGCCCACTGTATACAAAATGCTGTCTAACGGGGTGGGCACATGGGGAATTACTTACAATCCAGTGTAAGTGATAGGACAGAGGGTGTCTTCAAAATACTGAAGTGGTACATGTTCAAAGTCTGATCCCAGACTTTGGGGCTGGTGTCAGGGAAGACTTCCTAGAGGAAGTGATGTTTGAGCTTGAAGGTTAGATGGCTGTTAAACAGCAATCTGTGGGTTCAAGGTATTCCCTGGCCAGACAGATTTAGATAGCTGGGAGCAGAGGGCAGCTCTGAAAAGCCATCTGCTGCTCTGGGCAGGCCTGCAGGAGCTGTTCCAGGGCCCAGACCTGCGTGGAATCTCTGACGAGAGGCTGGTGGTGTCCAGTGTACAGCACCAGTCTACCCTGGAGCTGAGTGAGGCCGGCGTGGAGGCAGCTGCAGCCACCAGCACAGCCATGTCCCGCATGTCGCTCTCCTCCTTCAGTGTGAACCGCCCTTTCCTCTTCTTCATCCTGGAGGGTACCACAGGCCTGCCCCTCTTTGTGGGCACCGTGAGGAACCCCAACCCTAACGCACAACCTCAGCTCCAGGAGCAGCAAGATTCTCCTGACAAGGACTTCCTCCAGAATCTGAAAGCCTTCCTCTATGGAGACAAGGCCTTTGACCCCGACTTAAAACTCGCTCCGCCCTTGGACGAGGATTACCCCCAGTTTAGCAGCCCCAAGTGAGGACCCAGGCCACCAGCATCCTGAGTCCCCGCCTGGACCAGCCTTTCGATTAATGTGACTCTTTCCATCCAGCTTTGTGGGAGTGGGGCGGGACCCAGGGGGGCAGTCTGGAGAAGAAAGGAGCTATTCTCTTTCAGCTCCTCCTGGGGAATCTGGGGTGGGTGGGGCCAGGAGGAGGGAAGGTGTGGGAACCGTGGGCGGGATCCCTCTTCATTTCTTCCAAAAGGGCTCAGATGGTTTCCTTTTTGGGACAGGAGTGGTAGAACAGCTGTGGGTCCAGTTTTGGTAGGATGTAGGCTAGGTGAGGCCCTAATTAGCCCAGGCAACTCCACATTTGTAGGCACAGGAGGGAGAGACTGCCTTTCTCAACACCCTGGCTGAGGAGCCTGGTGATGGCTTTGGAGGCAGTGTTGTCCTGGAATCAGACACTAGGGAGCAGCCTTTGCCCCTCATGGGGCCTGGGTCATTTCCCCTGGGTGGGTTGACAACCTGACTCGGATGCAACTTGCTGAAGGCCTCAGCCTCTAGCCCACCCCTGACACCCTTACACCCCAGTTTCCCTGCTGGGTCCTTGGAGATGCCAACACTGCCAGGATCCCCTTCCTTCCTCTCTCCTGACTTCCTCTTTCTGCTTGGTAGCTCAGGGGGCTGAGGCGGGGAGGGCCCTATTAGCTCCTTAAGGCTCTTTTGTAAAGTTTTTGTAGTGATTTTTATGCCACCTGAATAAAGAATGAATGGGCCTGGCTGGCTGATGTCACTGTTTTTGGAATGGATGGGAGAAAGGGGAAGGCAGGGAGGCAGCAGACTGCACTGGTGTGCCACGTTTGGTCTCTGGCCACATGCCAACCCTCTCTAGGGCCACCTCCACCCCAGCCTGACTCTGCTGTCAGCCTGTCCCTCTCTAGGTGCCTCAGGCAGGCGTCAACAGGGCAGCTCAGAATAGCGCCAGTCTCCAGTGTTCGAAAACCGGCAATTAGGGAGCTTGAGGAGTTTCTAATTACACACCAGCCCTTCTGCCAGGAGCTGGCGCCCGCCAGCCGGGGGGCAGGCTAACAGCTGAGGATTTGGGGGATGCAGCTGGGGGGGTGCCTTGGCCCAGGGCTGACAGCTTCCTCTGAAGAGCCCAGTGAGCTGGGGGCAGGACAGATCTACGTGGGTGGGAGTGCCATGGCCATCTGGAGTGAGTGTGCCTCTCTGCTGTGCCCTTGTCTGTGAGTTCAGGGTGTCCATATGACTGCAGTCACCTGGAGCCCTAATGTACTTTGGGATTAGAGAGCATTAGCATGGAACCATGCTGCTTATAAATGGGCAGTGTGGAGAGGTGGGTGACACCTGCGTTGTCTGTTGGAGGGCAACTATCCTTAAGAAGTGAAGCAGGGGAGGGGACAGGGCTGGGAGGGAAGGTCCTCTCCCAGGACCTCTTCCCTGGGAGGGAGGTGACACTCAAGAAGGAGCATGAAGGAGGTGGGAAGTAGTACCTTGGAAGTCTCTGGGGAGAGCACCCTGGTAGGGGAGAGTGGCCTGGCAGAGGACTGGCTAATGCTGGGACCAGGCATGGAAGTTCAAGATGAGTGGGAGAGGGTGGGGCTGGACAGGGTAGAGAAGAGGAGGAGGGAGGCAGTTGCTGGGGACAGATCATGAAGGGCTTTAGGGACAACTCGGGGGAAGTAAGAATTCACTGGAAGGTTCTCACCCAGTCAACCCCCTGAATATTTCTTGAGCTCGCCTCTTCATTTCCGCACACAGAGCCAAGGTCTGGACCTGGTCATCACTCTGTTGAGTCACTGCCATTGCTTCTGGTCTCTCCCAGCTGCTGGGCTGGCTCCTTAACTGCATCCTTTACCCTGCAGGTCCTTACTAAGCAACTTCCAAGTGCCCAGCGGCACACCAGTCTCTGGGGATGCAGCAACAACCAAGCAGACAAGACTCCTGTCACCCTGAAGCCCCAGTGTGGTGGTGCAGTGGTGTAGACAACAAATGAAAACACAAGACATAGTTCTGTGATGCAGTCCTGCATTAGGAACAGCACCTGAATCAGAACCATTCCTTGTCTTCCTTCCTCTTAAGAAAGAAACCCAAAATGAAACAAGACACAGTAAACAGAATGATCTCAAATGTTACAAAGGGAATTCTCAGGCTTTTGTGATACTATGTAACTGTGGGGAGTCTTTTATTTATTTACTTATTTCTTGTGGTTTTGGAGATAGAACTTAGGGCCTCAAGCATGCTAGGCAAGTGCTCTACCACTGAGCCACACCCTCAGCCCATGGGATGTATTTGCTGCTGTGATATTTGAACTGAGAGATGGATGATATAAGGACCTGACTATTTATAAAGAATGTGAGAATGTTTAGGAAGAGATAAAAGCCAGAGCAAAGGCCCTGAGGCAGAAAAAGGCTTGGATCTTTCCAGAAACAGAAAGGCTAGCTTGACTAGAAGTGACTAGAGATGAAAGAAAAATGAAACTAGACAGGTGGACTGGGCCAGATCACACAGGACTTTGCAGGCTAGAGCTGGGGTTTGGATTTTATTCCAAGTCTAAAGGGAAGCTGCAGAAGGGTGTTTTGCTTTAAATTTTTTAGTTAAAATATAATATGCAAAGTATACAATCATAGTTATACACAAACTTAAGAATGTTTTCATGAACCAAATGCTTCTGCGCAACCAGCCCCAGAACAAGAAACAAATCTTACTCTCCTGCCTTCTGGTGACATTAATGAGTTTTTCCTGGTTTTTAATTCTCTATATAAAAAAAATCAGCAGTTCCCACTTCCTCCCTCCCTTTTTCTCTCTAATTTTTTTTCTGGTGCTGAGGATCGAACCCAGGTCCTGTGCAGGCTAGGGAAATGCTCTGACTGAGTTATATTACAGCCCAATCTCTGTCTGGCTTCTTTCACTCAACCTCATGTTTATGAAATTTGTCTGTATTGTGGATGGCAATGATTCCTTCACTGCGGAAGCCTTTTAATTGTGGGATGTCATGATCTGAGTTAGGCTCTGGAAGGCTCACCTAGCTGCTGGGAAGAGAACAGACTGGAGACAAATGGAGGGAGAAAGGAGACTGGTTGGCTGAGTGAGGGACAGATTACAAGGCAGATGGAAGGTTTTCGCTTTGAACATGTTATGATGGAAATGCCACACGGATGCAGGCCAATCACATGTCCCATTTTGCCTGGGAAACTTCAGCTAATTAGTAGCATCTCTTTGTGCTTTGTTAGAAGTGTCTGTCTGGACAGTAAGTTCTAAGTTCATCCATGGGTAACCATGTGGATATGGTAAGAGTGGTGCTGTTGAGTTGTGAATTTGAGTTTACCCATCTTTACTGTCAGGTAGGTGATTGGACAGTTGGTCAAGGATAGAAGTGTGTACTTGGGAGCATAGATTTGCATGTAAAGTCAAGGAAGTAGAGGCTAGGTAAAGTCCAGGCTTAGCACATGCAAAGACCAGGCTTTTTTTCTTTTCAGGCACTAGGTTTTAAACTGCAGGCCTCATACTTCTCATACTTGCTAGGCAGTTGCTCTACTACTTGAGCCACTCCACCAGCCAAGGCCCTGGCTTTGATTCCCAGCACACACACAGACAAAATCATGGATCTGCCTAGAGGCAGTCGATTAAGGGAAGATAATGTTAATAGAAAGGAAAATGGGCAGGCACTGGTGGCTCACACTTGAATCCTAGCTGCTAGGGAGGCAGAGATCAGGAAGATTGCAGTTTGAAGCCAGACCCTATCTTGAAATACCCAACACAAGACAGAGCTGGTGGAATGGCTTAAGTTGTAGAGTGCCTGACTAGCAAGCATGAGGTCCTGAGTTCAAATAACAGTATCACTAAAAAAAGAAAGGAAGCCAGCACTGGTGGTTCACACCTGTAATCCTAGCTACTCAGGAGGCAGAGATCAGGAGGATCATGGTTCGAAGCTGGCCTGGACAAAGTTTGCAAGACCCTATCTCGAATATACCTAACACAAAAAGGGCTGGTGGAGTGGCTCAATGTGTAGGCCCTGAGCTCAAGCCCCAGTACCACAAAAAAAAAAAAAAAAAAAAAAAAGGAAAAGAGGCCCCAGTATCGACCCCAGCAGAGATAGAAAAGATGGGGTATATAAGGTAGGAGGAAAACAGAGGGGTGTGGAGAGTGAAGGTTTCAAGGAGGAATGCTGTGCTCTGCTTCCTGCTGCCCAGGACAGAGGTTTCTAGAGAGGTGGCAACTGTAGGTTTAAAGGAAAGGTGGGCACAGAAGCAGAGTGGGTGGGAGGAAATGGGAGGGGAGGCTGTGTAGACTCAAGAGTAAATAGCTCTTTCCAGCATGGCTATGAGGGAACCTAAGAAGTGGGCAGCAGCTTTAGGGGATGTAGCATAAAAAAGCATCTTTTTTCTGGTTTTGTTTGATAGCACTGGAGTTTGAACTCAAGGCCTCGTGCTTGCTAGGCAGGTGCTCCACCACTTGCACCACTCCACCAGTCCAGTTTGATGGACTTCAGATATCCTAATTTCAGGTGCCACAGCATGGAGCTTGCAATGATGAGATTTTTTTCACCCCTCCAGTAGAGGGCACACTCTTGCCAGCGGCTTTGGTAGCTAGCCAGTGTCTTATGAGGTCTAATGCTTTCCTGCCTGCTGATCTGTGGCAGTTGGCTTTGTAGGAGCTATGATATAGAGGGTTCAGTTGATGCTTAAGGAAGTCTGGCATTAGAGAGGACAGCAGCTGTTTCCACTCTCTATCTAGGTATTCCCTTTGGATGGACACTCAGGGAGCTACCTTTTTTTTTTTGGCACTGCAAACAATGCTGCTATAACATTTTTCTACATACTTCCTTGTGCACAAATGTGGGTGTATTTTATTGTTGGCAGAGCTGTGGATCAAACCCAGGGCCTCACACAAGCTAGGTAAGCACTCTACTGTGGATTCCATGGGAGTCTTTTTGGCTCACATACTTAGAAGTGGAATTGCTGAGCTATAGGCTTGGGCTTGTCCGTCTTTAACTGCCAGTGCTGCCACATACAGTTATGCTCAATTTTGGTGGTACTGATTTTGAAATCAGGGCCTTCTAGGCAGGTGCTCTCACACTTGAGCCACTCTGCCAGCCCTGTATTTTTCCTTCTTTTTTTTTTTTTTGTGTGTGTGTGTGTGTTGCATATTTTTCAAGATAGGGTTTTACAAACTATTTGCCTGGGCTGGATTTGAACCATAATCCTCCTGAGTGCTTAGGATTATAGGTGTGGGCCACTGGCCCCCAGGAGGTTATACACAACTTTATTACATAAGCACTCTGCCATTTGAACCATGCCCCCAGCCCTTTTTTTGCTTTAGTTATTTTTTAGGTAGGGTTTGGAGCTTTTTGCCCGGGGCCAGTCTTGGACCTCCATGCTCCTACCTACAGCCTCCCACATAGCTGGTATTATTAAGCCCATCAGTACCCCTGGTTTATATTGTTAAGATGGGGATCTCACTAACTAACCAGCTTGGGCTGGCCTGGAACTGTAATCCTCCTATCTATGACTTCCTGAGTAGCCAGTATTACAGGTGTGAACTACCACAACTGGCCTTATATTTGCTTTTTATTTACTTTTTTAATGTTTGCATTCTTAATTTTTTTATTCATATGTGCATACAATGTTTGGGTCATTTCTTCTCCCTCCCCCCACCCTCTCCCTTACCCCCTTCCCCGCCCCTTATATTTGCTTTTTAAAGCACAATAGTGTCTTTAAAAGAATACATAGAAAAGAGATTAATATCATCTATGTGTAGAAAATAGACCTGGATGACAGGAGATCAGAATGAGGAAGACTTTTCACTGTATATCTCCTGTTACTTTTGACTTTTGAACCATTGAAAATACCTATTGAAAAATAAGTCAACAGTCAGGTGGCAATGCCTGTAGTCCCAGCTACTCCGGAGGCTGAGGCAGTAGGATCACTTTAGCTTAGGAGATCTAGATTAGCCTGGGTAACACTGTGGAACCCCATCCTAGATTTAAAAAGAATTGGGGCTGTAGCTCAGTAGCAGAGGACTTGTCTACCATGCACATGGCCCTGAGTTCCACCTCAGCACCATGAAAAAAAGGTTGGTTAAATTAATTTTAATAAATTAATTCACTTAACCCAATATATGTAATCAATGTGAAAGTCATGAAGATAGGTTACTTTCCGTTTTCATATAAGTATTCAACACCTGGCATTCATTTTATACTCAGAGCAAGGGTTCTGCAGTGGGGACCATGGGGGACGGTGCAGCTGTAGGGGTAGATGGTTATGTAGAATGTGTCACATTATATTTTCACACCAGCCTGTTATTAGCCAGTAAGTTCCTGAGGGTGGACACTACGTCTCATTCATCTACATGCAGCACCTTGCCTAGACATGCTCCACAATTCTTTGTTGAAAAGGATGGAATTCTGCTGTTGACACTTCTTCCTATAAAGCTGCACCTGCCTGCTGGACAGTTCCATCCAGGGCCCTGCTCTGCTCCCTCAGGCTTCACATGAGATACCTGTAGGGTGCCCTAAGGTTTCTCTTTTTTAAGCTAAATATCCCAGAACACTCCCCTTTCCTTCTCCTTTGAATCCTTTATTTATTTATTTATTTATTTATTTTTGGTTGGACTGGGGTTTGAACTCAGAGCTCTGTGTTTGCAAAGCAGGTGCTCTAGCTTGAGCCACACCATTTTGCTCTGGTTATTTTGGAGATGGGGTCTCTTGAATTATTTGCTTAGGTTGACCTTGAATCTAGGATTACAGGCAGGAGCTCCTGGCACTGGCTTTCTATGAATGCCTATAGGTCTAGAAAACATTGCATTATACAGGTTGAGCATCTTTATTTTTATTTATTTATTTTTTGGTGGCACTGGGGTTTGAACTCAGGGCCTCACACTTGCTAGGCAGGTGCTCTACCACTTGAGCCACTCTGCCAGCCCTTTTTTGTGTTGGGTATTTTTAAGACAGGGTCTCCTGAACTATTTGCCTGGGCTGCTTCAAACCTTGAACCCTCCTGATCTCTGCCTCCTGAATAGCTAGGATTACAGGCCTGAACAATGGTGCCTAGCAGGTTGAACATCTTTAACCAGAAAATCTGATGTGTGAAATGATCCAAAATTTGAAGCCTTTTGGGTGTTTATATGATGCCTCAAGTCTGACAGTTCAATGGACTGGAGGTGTGGCTCAAGCGGTATAGTGCCTGTTTTGCAAGTGTGAAGCCCTGAGTTCAAACCCCAGTCTCACCAAAAGATAAATAAAGCTAAATCACACTGGGAAATTTTGGGCTGGTGGAGTGGTTCAAATGGTAGAGTGCCTGCCTAGCAAGCATGAGGACCTGAGTTCAAACCCAAGTGCCACCAAGAAAAAAAAAGAAAGTGTGACAGTTAACCTATACAAAAGCAATGAAGATATTGTGTTAATAAGGTTAACTTCAGGCTATGTATATAAGGTGTATATGAAACACAAATGAATTTTGTGTGTAGATTTGAGTCCCATCCCCAAGAGATTTCATTATGTAGATGCAAAAAAACTGGAAAATATCTGAAATCTGAAACACTTCCAGTCATAAGCATTTTCGGGTCCTAAGTATTTCTGTAAGAGACAATCAACCTGTAGTGTCTAATCATAGCTTATGTTAATGTCTTCGTTTCACAGCCATATTGAGTGTTCCTAAATACCCCAAGGGGAGCTGGGCTCCAGAGTTCTCCTTCCCAGGTAACCTCTTGGTGCTAATGTGTCCCATACATCTCATTTCTTCCTCTGTGAGATGTTTTCTCCCACTGTCCTTTTTGATCTTCAGAATTGAGCTGGGAGCTGGCGCTCATGGCTATAATCCCAGCTACTCAGGAGGCAAGGATCAGGAGGATCGCAGTTCAAAGCCAGCCCTGGGCAAATAGTTTTTGAGACCTATCTTGAAAAAACCCATCATAAAAAAGGGTTGGTGGAGTGACTCAAGGTGTAGGCCGTGAGTTCAAGCCCCAGTACCCCCCCCAAAAAAAAAAAACAAACAAAGAAAGAAAGAAATCACGGAATTGCAGAGCTGGAAGAGCATGCAGACAGTCTCAGTTCTATCCCTTCATTTTTTAGCCAAGGAGTGGGAGAAACCATGAAAGTTGGCTAATCCCTAATCTCAGATAGAGCCAGTTAACTAGCAGGAAGAACCCTGAGTCCCAAACTGGGCCAGTATTTTCTTCAGTCCACCTGCCAACCTCTGCACCTCACTCAAGCTGCTCATGCTCAGTCCCATCTCTGTACCCCAGGCCGGCCCTGTTGCTCTCTGGGCTTGGCCATCTTGTGGGCAGTCCCAGCAGGCCCCGATAAAGGCCAGAGCCCTGGAGGAAGATCTGGAGGAGGAGGAAGGTTATGTGAATGTATGGTTCTTGGGACTATGGAGTGGAAGGGCAGCATTGAGTTAAAGTTAACACCAGACAATGATGCAATCATAGAAGCCAAATTGAGCACAGGCTGCTTTAAGAAAGGAGTACTGTAATCTGAAGCCTGCTGGACGTTGGGGTTGGGAGGCAGTAAAAACAGCTCTAGTGCTAGCTGGAGCCCCCTCGGGTGCAGGCTGAGAGGGACCTAGGCTGGGAGTGGAGCTGCAGCGAACCACAGGTAAAGCAGCATCCAGTGGTGCTTTTCTGGGCTTGGGGGGACTGGGAGAGGCAGGGAGCAGAAAAGAGGGGTGCAAGGAGGAGGTGGGGATACAGAAGCCCTTGCAGCTTGGACACTACAGATAAGTGGATGAGAGATAGCAGAGGGAGTGGGGGACGGGCTAAGACTCAATTACCTCCCAAACCCCACTGCAATATAGAAGTCTGGAAAGACTTTTGAATGAAGTGAGTGGGAAACAGTGGAGGGAGTGGAGGAGGCAGAGAGTTAAGCTCTCTCTTAGTCAGGTCTGAGCAGCACCCCAAAGGGGGGGCTGCAGCCCCAGGGGAAGGACACACTTGAGTAGCTGTTTCAGAAAGGTGGCCCTCCGGCAGCTTACCCTGGCTTCCACCCACCAAGATTGCTGCTTCTTTTTCAAAATCAGTTGGTGCTGATTTCCAAGGTAATTTCCCAACAGCACCAAGGAGCTGCATGCTGAACCCTGTCTGAGTGCTGGGATGGGGTCACAGCTGGCTTCTTCTGTTTAGCCCCCACCCTTTCTCTTTGGCTGAAAGAGCTGTAAGCAAAAACTGGGAGACTAATGAGGTCATGGCCCCTGCAAACAATGAGCAGTTTTTAGCCTAGTCGGTGCTGGGGATTGGGGGCTCAGCTGCCCTCTGCTCCCTTTACACAGAAGGGAGTGGTCTGAGCCAAAGAAGGAAAGCCAAAGGCTTCCCAAAACCTTGCCACTGTTTGGCTCATGGCTGTCCACCAAGAATTCAGACCCCAGACCTGTGGTAGGGTGGGGAGCAGGGAGTTCTAGTCCTAGGGCTGGTCCTTCTGGGGTGTGGGGAAGTGCAACTGGGGTGCCTTGTCCTGATTCACTCAGGTTCCATGATTTCAGAAAAAAGTTGCCATGGAGCTGGTGGTGTCACCATGGGTGGGCCAGAGGGGATTCTTGGAAACTCTCCCAGAGCCAGCTGAGAGTGAGGGGCCCTCCCTGCATGGTTCACAATGTCTACCGCCATGTGGCTTGAAGGCTGTGGTTTGTGGGAGGAGGAGGAGCCATGGTGTTTGTCTCACAACTGGGTTTAATCTGAAACACATGTGTTGGCTTACATTCACCCTCTCAGCGTGGAGGCAAGATCACACATCCTGTGCTCTTGATTTGTGGTGGAATTGAAAGCCGACCTTGGCCCAGAGGGGAGGATCTGTTCCCTCCCCCACCTGGTAGGCCAGAAGCCTGGCTCAGGTACTGCCCTTTGGACAGGATGGCATCATTGCCCCGTGCCCCTGGGCAGCCAGTGATTTCTGCCTCTGCCCACAGGATGATCATCTTGCACAGGGCATTGCAAATGGTTCAAGGGGCCCTCTCACTGCCCGAGGTGGGGGCGGAGGGGCTTTAGGGTCTCTACTTCCTTTACCTATGGCTTGAGGTGGAGGGTTCAAGATCATGCCATTAATGCTACCTAGCCCTGCGTCTAGTTCTGGGTCAGGTTCCCTCACCTCATCTTCTCCCATCTTCAGCTGATGTCACTCATGTGGTAACAATGATCGGTCACATGATCTGGGGCTCTGTAGGAACTAAAGAAGGTCCCACCTCCAAGTGTATCTGAATTGTTTCCTTAGATACTATCCTGGGAGCCAGGTAACAGTGGCTCACTCCTATATAATTGCTACTTGGGAGGCTGAGATCAGAAAGATCACTGTTCAAGGCCAGCCCGGGCAAATAGTTTGCAAGACTCTCATCTCCAAAATAACCAGAGCAAAATGGACTGGAGGTGTTGCTCAAGCTTGCTTTGCAAGCCTGTACCCTGAGTTCAAACCCCAGTCCTCTCCTCCACAAATGCTATGCCTGGGTGATCTATCTTCTTCCTTCCCCTTTCCTACCACAGCGAGAGGGACCAGGGCTGACAGCATTCCTTCTAGCCTTGCCTTCTCTACATCTCACTAAATTTTTAGTCCAATAAACTAGTCTCTGGAGGCTCAGGCAAGGGAGGCGCTGTCTGCACTGGGCGGGGCTGGCTGGCAGAGAGCACAGAGGGCTGTAAGCCTGAGGGTGTGGAGGTCTCTATCTCTTGCCTCTGAAAGCTTTTCCTGTTGTTTCAGCACCCTGTGAGGAGCCCCTAGCTGAGAACACAGGGGTCCATGGACCTTCCCTCGGAGAAGAGCTGCAGATGAGCGTTTAGAAAGAGAGCTGGCTGGTGCCTGATGGCAGTCCTGCCTTAAGCTGAGCAAACTGAGATCTTTTCTTTTGCTGTCTTTTGGGCACTACAATGTTGTCCAGTGGATTATCAGACTTAATTTTAAGGATTTTAGCCAATAATCACATACTGCACTCCTCTAACTTTTCTGACCCAATTTGTTCTGGGAAGCCAGAAAAGTTAGTGTGTGGTAGGGGGAGGGTTTATGTGTGTATAAAAAGGATAATGATGGAGCTCAGGAGACCCTTGGGTATGCATGTGTGTTATAGGTTGGATGGAGGCAGAGCATGGACCAATCAAAGGTCCTGGCTACTGAGTAGGCCTTGTGTGATCCTGTAACTAGAAAGCTCTCAGAAGATCTTATTTGGGAAACCCTCAGCTGCCCTTATCCCTCCACCCCTACATCTTGACTCCAAGGGAAGCATAAGGATGAGGTGAATACAGGAGAATCTAGAGTCCTAGACCCAAATTTCAGAGCTTTGCCTGGTGGTCTACGTTCCAGACCAGAGGCTGGGCAGGAGGGCCACTGCTGGGAAGGTGATGGGACCTTGGAGGTCTCACTAAGAAAGTAGGGTGTGGCTGGGGTGTAGCTCAAATGGCAGAGAGCCTGCATAGCAAGCACAAGTCTCCGAGTTCAAATTCCATATCACCAAAAAAACAATGAGGTTGTTTTAACCTGAAAGAAAGAAGTCTTTGGGTTTAAGAGCTATTTTTGAGCTGGGAGGGGGAAGAGGACAATCTACTGGGGAGGTGGAGCCATATGATTCTGGTTGAAGGGGGACATATTTGGCTCTGAACTCATTTAAGGACTTACCATCTCTGGCACTGGTAAGTGCTGCTAAAACATTATCTAGCTGAGCTTGATGGCTTACATCTGTAAACCCAGAACTTGGGAGGCTGAGGCAGGAGGATCAAGAGTACACAGCCAGCTTGGGTTACATAGGGAGACCCTGCCTCAAAAAAAAAATCTAATTTTTAATTCTCATAATAGGCAAGTACTGTTTTACATTTTACCAGGAAAAAAATACTATGTAGAGAGCAATTAAGAGCCAGAATTGATGCCAGGCGTGGTGGCTCAAGCTTGTAATCCTAACTAAATCAGGAGGCAGAGATCCAGGTTTGAAGCCAGCCTGGGCAAATTGTTTGCAAGACCCTATCTTGAAAACACCCAACACAGGGCTGGTGGAGTGGCTCAAGTGCTAGAGCACCTGCCTAGCAAGCGTGAGGCCCTGAGTTCAAGCCCCAGTGCTGCCAAAAAAAAAAAAAAAAGAGCCAAAATTGAGATTTGAACTTAGGTGGTTTCAACCCTAACCCTTGCCCTCCTAACCAAGAGGGGAAGAGCTCTTGAAATGGAAATGAGAAGGGAAGGGAATGAGTGTCCTTATGAGGTCACTGACCTCTGGTCAGAGGAACTCACAAGAGTTGGAGAAGTTTTGGGAGATAGTGGGCTAGACTGGATGCTTCCATTCCTTTCTGTGGTTCCAGGCTCAAATTCCATCCAATGAGCTGGCTGGGTGCCTTCAGGGAATAGTTTTAGGAGACATTTGTGCTAGACCATACTCCATAGGGACTGAGGGCCCCACTGCTGGGTTGTCCTTGTTCTGGGGCTTTAGGTTGGAAGATGGGTCCTCTGATAGGGACCCCCAGACAAAAGCACAGTGCATGATGTGGCTGTGGGTGGAGAGGCAGGTGCAGGGTGGGGAGGGGATGGCTGGGTGGGAGCAGTCCTCAAGCTGAGGGTCCACTTCCAGTCTGGGGAGGCTGGAGAGAAGGTGCTCACACTGTCTATCTCCTGCCCCTGTGGCAGGGCAGGGAGGTGGGCAAGGGGAGTGGCCTGCCCCTTTCATGTCTCTTCCAGGTTTGGGATGCAGGCCCTCGTGCTACTCCTCTGGACCGGAGCCTTGCTTGGGCAGGGCAGCTGCCAGAATGTCGATAGCAGCCATGAGGTCAGTGGGGGTAGGTGGGTGGGGGCATCAGCTGTTCCAGCCCCTTATTAGCAGCAGCCTGGGAGACAGGACAGGAACCCATGTTCCAGCCTGGGCTCTGACTTTTTTTTTTGGGCTCTGATCTTTATTCCTACAGGGCCTTGGCTTCTCTAGCAGCAAAACAGAAAATGTATTGTGTCCACTTTTCAGAGGGCAGAGTAGAGACAGAAATAAGATCCAAAAAAGTGAAAAGCCAAGACATTTTAACTAGTCCAGGGCTGCCCCTTCCTTGAAGACCTTTCCTCACATCTATACTACTTGTGGGGCTCACAGAGTGGGTAGTGTTCTAGAATATTTGTTCAGATGCTGGTGGGCCACAGCAGAGGATGACCCAATGCATGCAGATTTATCTGTCTCTCAGAAAGTTTCTGCTGTATGCTGGGCTTGGGGTGAGGTCCCTGTCACATGAAGAACAGGAAGCTGGACCTAGCAGCTGGAGTCCTGGATTTGTGGGTTCTGAGTTTCAATTGAGGCTGTATCTCTCACTGACTAGTGGCCTTAGGTCACTCTTATCTCAATCTCTGTTTCCTTATAGGACTGTTATGGCAATTTATTTATTTCTCACCTACCGAACACCTACTTTTTTTTTTTTTTTTTAATGCTGGTGATCGAACCTAGCCTTGTGCACACTAGGCAAGTGCTCTATCACTGAGCTGTACTTCCACCCATCAACACCTACTCAGAAGGTGCTGGAGATCAGTAGAAATGTGAGAGTCAATTCTTTTGAGATATTAGTCTTTTGGGACATCAGACAGATATATCAACAAGTACGAAATGAAGTAAGTCAGAAAGAGCTAGCAGAGGCTAAGAATGTAGCTGAGGACTTGCCTAGTATGTTCAAGGCCCTGAGTTTGAACCCTACCACTGGAAGAAACAAAACAACAACAAACTAGCCTGTCACAAGGGTAGATGGCTAATAAATGGCACTTGACTCTGAAAAACGATCAGAAAACCAAGTTCTCTTTAAGTAGGGGTGGTCATGGAAAATCTGTGATTTAGGAGAAAACATCTGGTGGTGAGACAAGGGTGAGTTGGGGGTGTGATAGGAGGGTCTAGGCAGAGCCTCAGAGCAGTTACCTAGGAAGCCTGGTGTGGTCTGACTACAGGGTGTCTTGGGGGATGGGGAATTCCTTGCTATTTTTTTTTTTTTTCTTCAGTGTGTCATGGGCTTCCAGCTCACAGGTTACAAATGCCAAAACCTGGCCAGCTGGTCCCCCTTCTCAGCTGCCTCTTCCAGCAAAGGGCTCATGCATTACCAGGGAGGCAACCTCATTTCCAACCTTAGGTTAAACATACCATAATTGGGAAGGCCAGCCCCAGGGCCAGAAGGACAATCCCACTCAATGCCAGGAGGAGACATCATTCACTGTGTGACTTCACTGGTCCTTGTTCTGTAATCCAGGGAGCCCCAGCCCCTGACAGCACGGGGGAGCCAGTGGAGGAGGAGGAGGATCCCTTCTTCAAGATCCCTGTGAATAAGCTGGCAGCTGCAGTTTCCAACTTTGGCTATGACCTGTACCGCCTGAGATCGAGCACAAGCCCCACTGCCAATGTGCTGCTCTCCCCACTCAGCGTGGCCACAGCCCTCTCTGCCCTCTCTTTGGGTGAGTTCACAGTTGCAGAAGGCCCCAGATGGACCTGGAGGCCCCTCCTCCCAGCCCAGGACTCTGCATATGTGTAGCTTGGGAGGAGTAAGAAGTGCTGCAAAGATGGCCGGATCAGGGTCTGGCCACGCACTGGGAGCCCAAGGGCTGCACACACAATTCCCACTATTGATATGGTGACTTCAATGCTCACTCATTCATTACTTAAATGAGCTCATTCTGTGTGCCTGCCATTAGCCCAGATTCTGGGGATATAACTGCCCACGGGTAGTCCTGGGCTTGCCAGTGGATCTCCTGGGCTCGCCAGAATCTCAGTGGGATCACAGCTGAGTTCAGAGGGGACACTCATGAACTGATAACTACAATATAGTGTAGGTGCTGTGATGGGAGTACAGGGGCTTCTTCCCCTCACCACACCCTTGTCTCTCTAGGCTTGATGCTTTTAGCCCACTTTTGGAAAACCCCCAAGGATGCATCACTGTTTCTTCTGTTGCCCTAAAATTCCTTGATTACCTGGAATGTCTGTATTATTGACCTATTCAGACTCTCAGCAGAAAGGAGCATAAGCTAGGTATGGTAGGCCACACTTGTAATCCCATCACTCAGGAGGCTGAGGCAGGATCACGAGTTTGAGGCCAGCCTAGGCTATATAGTGAGAGGAGTATAGGATCCCTGTCCTGGGAGGGACCTGATTTGGGCCTGGCAGTAATAGAGGCTCCCATCCTTGTCTCTCTGGCAGGAGCTGAACAGCGAACAGAATCCACCATTCACCAGACTCTCTACTATGACTTGATCAGCAACCCCGACATCCACAGCACTTACAAGGAACTCCTTGCCACTGTCACTGCCCCCCAGAAGAACTTTAAGAGTGCTTCCCGGATTGTCTTTGAGAGGAGTTGGTTGCCTTTTTCTCTCCTTCCTTCCCTTTCTTCTTCCTCCCTGCTCTCTTTTTTCTTTCTTTCACAAGGTCTTGATATGTAGCCCAGGTTGGCCTCTAACTCATGATTCTCCTGCTTCTGCCTCTCAACTGTTGGGACTACAGGCATGTGCCACAATGACTGGCTGGCAGTCAAACACTTTTTCATCCTGGGCTGTCTGAGGGCATGAAGCTCTATGCTACATTCTGCGGTTTCTTTCTAGACAACAGATTGTGTGCTCAAGCCAGGCTTGGCAGTGGTGGGCAGGAAAGGGCCCATGAGCCCAAAGAGGATCAGAAAGGGGAAGTAGGCTGTGGAGAGGGCAGGAGGGAGTGGGGAGGGCAGTAACATTGAGAGGAACAGCAATGGGTGAAATTCATTGTTCCCTGCCCAGTGCCTGGCAAGTCACGGGAAGATGCTGGGCAGGAAGTCGGGGCCTGCTGAGTGGTAAACCAGAACTGAAGCCGGCATGGTCTCAAAGAGAGGGTGCTGGTTCAGCTCTTGTACACTAATCTCTGTTCTACTTCTCAGAGTTGCGGATAAAATCCAGCTTTGTTGCACCGCTGGAAAAGTCGTACGGGACCAGGCCCAGAATTCTGACTGGCAACCCTCGCATGGACCTTCAGGAGATTAACAACTGGGTGCAGGCCCAGATGAAAGGGAAAATTGCCAGGTCCACCAGAGAAATGCCCAGTGACATTAGCATTCTCCTTCTTGGTGTGGCCTACTTCAAGGGTGAGGGCTTCCCCACTTCTCCATGGCCAAGGGTGGATGGCAGGTGTCAGAGGGGGTTGAGAAAGAGAAGTCGAATCCTTGCCCAACATAAGCCCAGAAGCAAAGTCAGCAGAGAATCTGAGAACTGCATCTGCCTGCAGCATACCTGCTTCTCATGTACTGAGTGTCTACGACGTATCTGATGAATGCCCACAGGTGTAAGAGGCCTGGGCATTGTTCAATTTCTGGCTTTTGAGTCAGACTGTGTTTAATCCTGGTCTGATTTTGCTAGCTTCAGCACCCTGCAACCTTTCTGGGCCTGTTTCTTCATCTTCCATGTCAGGCTCATATACCTACTTCATAGATATTTTGTATGTATTTTCTCATTTCACAGAAACCCTAGTATTGTAACTGGGATACAACAGGGGCTCAGCAAACTGTTATTAGTCATCTACCAACATTCTTGTAGAAAACGGTGGTGTTCCCAGAGATGATTCCACAACCTATTATGAGACCAGCCCTATTCAGATAAGGCCTTGGGGCAGAGGGCTGGGCAAACTTCCCCTTAAAATGCTTTGTGGTTGTCCTATAAGGGAGCAGCAAGAGTGGACCCCTAAATTCCTAGTGCAAAGCCCAATGGCTTCCTACTTCAAGTACTGATCTCCAGGGAGTGACAGAGCAGTCACAGACCCATCATATTAAATGGCACATTAAACAGAAGGGACTTGGGAATCCAGATAGAACCAACAGAGTCAACTTCTTTGGATCTGAGTTTGCTTGTGGAAGGTACTCAGGGCTCAGCTCATACATACTGAGACGTAGCAGCTCTTTCCTCCTGTGTTGGAGTTGCTGGGAACTAAGAGTCCTTTAGGCAGCTGGGCAATTTTCAGCTATGTGCTGTGGAGACCCAGTATGGTCCCTAGCCTTTCTGGTGCTTGAGGCTCAGGAGACTTCATTCGTCTTATTCCAGGGCAGTGGATGACAAAGTTTGACTCCCAAAAGACTTCCCTCCAGGATTTCCACTTGGATGAGGAGAGAACCGTGAGCGTTCCCATGATGTCAGACCCCAAGGCCATTTTACGATACGGCTTGGATTCTGATCTCAGCTGCAAGGTCTGTAGGGGTGGGTTGGGGGCCGGTAGGAGATTTCAAAGAGAGGCAGAATTACATGTGGAAATAGAATGACCTTTAAGATCTAACAGTTATCTGAATTTTGCCTGCTGTGTGACTTTGTGAGCAAATTAATAATGTCTGAGCCTTTCCTCTTCTTAAAAGAGAGTGAGGATAATTATCAAAACAGATCCTCTCAGGGTTTGTTGTAAGGATTAAGATGATGAGAAATGGGTCCCCAAGATTTGGCAGTCAGATCTAGGCATGGTGGTGCATACCACGCTTGTAATCCCAGCTCTTGGTAGGTTGAGGCAGGGGATCACAAGTTCAAGGGAAACCTGGGTTATACAGCAAGACCCTGTCTCAAAAAACAAAACAGCAAAAAAGATTTAATGCTCAAATGTTGAAATCTTTTATTGAGTACTTTTGTTTTAAGAATTAAGAGCCAACTTTTGAAAAACTGTCAAAATCCATATTGCTGACATTCTATGGTTTTCCTGTGTACTTGACTTCTTTTAGTTCTTAACCTTTTTTCGGGCCATGACCTCTTTGGGAGTCTGACAAAAACACCTGAAACACTCAAGAGAAATGCCATTTGTGCACATGAACATGTTTCTGCATGTGATTTCAGGGGGCTCTTGGGACCCTCTGACACCATCTGTTCCGTGAGCCTCAGGTTAAGAACCTCCATTCAAAGGATCCATTTTTATTACTGATTCTGTTCTGATGTGCCACCACCCCCATTTCTAGTCCAGTGCTCTGCACATAACAAATGATCTCTAAATGTTGACAGGTAGACTTTGGAAGCAGAGACCTGAATCAATTCTATCTCTTAGAACCACAGGAGAATATTCTTTCAGCAGGTAACTTCAGGTGGCATTAGGCCGAGAAGAAAATGGCCTGGTTTTGAAGGAACATCTGGAGAAGACTTGCTGCCAGAAAGCAATAACCTAGAGAACAACTGTTACCTAGATAAGGGGCTGGGCAAACACAAGGCCCAGCCCCACCATGGGAGAGAGGAAGGCAGCTCTTGATGTCCAAACATCCCTACACTTTTGGGCTCTGAAGGACTAACCTACCTGCTTCCTCTCTGTTGATTCAGATTGCTCAGCTGCCCCTGATCGGAAGCATGAGCATCATCTTCTTCCTGCCCCTGAAAGCAACCCAGAACTTGACATTGATAGAAGAGAGTCTTACCTCTGAATTCATTCATGACATAGATAGAGAACTGAAGGCTATCCATGCAGTCCTGACCATACCCAAGCTGAAGCTGAGTTATGAAGGCGAAGTTACCAAGTCCCTGCAGGAGATGAGTAAGTGTGCAAGACCGCTTTGCTCTTGGAGTTTGGGGTGGGGTTGAGTCTTTGAACCTTCCACCCTTGCTAAGCAGAATCCAAGGGCTCCGGGGCCTTGTAGACAGGCCCTGGCTGCTTCCTCTATTCTAATACTGCTGTCTGACCCGGTTTCTAATCAAAACCTCACATGCTGTGTGCTCTTTGGCAAGTCACTTACCCTAGTTCAGAACTGCACATAGTTTACAGAAGGTCCCAGCAGTGTTATGCTACCAGCTTGCATGCCATCTTGAAGATGAGGTTTTGGATAAAATGGGAGTTTTAATGGGAATCCCTCTCAATCTCTGTAGAGCTACATCTTTGTTTGAGACCCAGACTTCAGCAAGATCACAGGTAAACCTGTCAAGCTCACTCAAGTGGAACACAGGGCTGGTTTTGAGTGGAATGAGGATGGTGCAGGAACCAACCCCAGCCCAGCCCTCCAGCCAGCCCGCATCACCTTCCCCCTGGATTATCACCTTAATCAACCTTTCATCTTTGTACTGAGAGACACGGACACGGGGGCCCTTCTCTTCATAGGCAAGATTCTAGACCCCAGGGGCATTTAATGCTCCAGTTAATGTTCCAGTACCTTAGAAAACCTAGAGAGTATACATGACACAGAGGCTGCCCCTATAGTTTCAAAGTACACTTTGCAATAAAAGAGCTTTTTCCTTAACTTTTGTTGCTTTGTTCCTCCTCCTGTTTTGAGCTATGCTAAGTTGAATATGAAGATAAATTGCACTTTAGGAATTTGCTAGTTCAGTTCTTACAGCCTGGTTCTGTAATAACAGCAGAGTCATCATTTATAAGAACTTTAGTTATCTGTTATGTAATACAGGAACTGCTTTTCTACTCTGGGGTGTTTATGTACTAGGACCCTAATCTCTTCCTCCTCTCCCCCCAAACAAAGAGGGCATCTCCTATCCCCACAATCCTGAAGCATGCTGTTTATTCAGCTTTCTGTTTTTATAATGAATACCTGAAATAAGCAACAGGAGAACACTTTATTTTTTTTTCCCTTTTTTGGTACTAAGGGTTGATTCAGGGTCTTGTGCTTGCTAGGCAAATACTCTCATCCTTTTGCTTTTAGGGTTTTTTTTTTTAGATAGTGTCACCTGCTTTTGACTGGGCTGGCATTAGACTGTGATCTTCCTACTTCTGCCTCCCAAGAAGTTGGGATGACAGGTGTGTGCCACTATGCCTGGCTTGCGTTGAGATGGAGTCTCACTGAGTTTTTCCTGGTTGGCCTTGAACAGTGATCTCTCATTTCTGCTTGCTGAGTAGTTGGGATTCCAGGCATGGAGCACCACATCCAGTAGAAAAGCTTTATTTTGGCTCATAGCATTAGATACTTCCATTCATGATCAATTGGCCTGGTGTCTTTTGGGAGTGTGGGGAGGCAGCACATCATGGCAGGAGTATGTGGTTGAACAAAACCACCCACTTCATGGCTGGGAAGCAAAGAGAAAGAAGAGAGCAGAGTCCTATTGCCCCCTTTGAGGTCATGTACTTGCCAATGAGCTAAAGACATTCCTCTAGCCCCCACTTCTTGAAGGTTCCACCACCTCCAAATAGTGCTATGCGAGGGACCAGTCCTTTCCCACATGGACTTTGGCACTTAAGATCAACAAAATCATCACACATGCTCTTAAATGAAACCAGACTAAGGTTTCAATGCAAGTGTAGGTATTCGCTACTCAAGCTAAGATCACATGAGACAATACAAGTTAACAATATGGGCAGACAAGGGAAGCAATTTGTTACTTCAGCACTTAGAAAAAGCTTTCAAGTACATGTAGAATGAGACCTGAAATGTAAAATTCTAAAGATATTTTCTAAGGAAGTACACTAATTTTACAAAGTACAACACAGTCGTTTTTAGGAACATGAAACATACCAAATGTTTGGAATGGAATAACTAAAGAACAGTCTGCAGGACTAAATTTTTTTTCCTGAAAAAGCTCTACCAAAAAAATCTCACTGGATATTCCTTGCCATGATGAGTTATTAGAGGAGGAGAAACCAACTTCTGCCTGCTTCCCATTCAACAAATGTTTGAATGTTCTGTATTCTAAACACTCAGTTTTCTAAAAAGCTGCTGCCAGGCGTCTTCAGGGCTGTTCACTTCCTGACTCCAACACCATGGCAACGAACAGCTACTTCTTGGGCATGGCGAGGGTGCAGGCAGGCTCTCAAAAGCAGTGTGGGATTGGTGGATGGCTTAAGTGGTAGAGTGCCTGTCTGGCAGGCATGGAGGTCCTGAGTTCAAACACCTGGAACACCAAAAAAAAAAAAAAAAAAAAATTCCAGGTGCTGGTGGCTCATGCCTATAATCCTAGCTACTTGGGAGGCAGAGATCAGGAGGATGGTGGTTTGAAGCCAGCCTGGGGAAATAGTTCGAGACCTTATCTTGAAAAAACCCTTCACAAAACAGGGCTGGTGGAGTGGTGGAGTGGCTCGAGGTGTAGGCCTTGAGTTCAAGCCCCAGTACTGCAAAAAAAAAAAAGCAGTGTGGACCTGGCATTCTTTCCCACTCGCTCATTTGAGCCACTTGTCACAGTGGTGATATAGCAATGGGGTTCACATTCCTAAAACCCCACAGCCTTCTGACCAGGCCGGGGTCTGAGCTATTGCTCCATATCCTTGTGGAAGGGGCAGTCATTCCTACCTCCTGTCTCTGAGGTTTGAAACCACAGCAGTGACGTGAGGATTTCAGCATTTGGGGGATGGTATATGAGGGACAGAACATCAGGACCTCTTGCATTCTACCACCAAGTATGTATGTACAGCCCCCACTCAGCATTTTCTTTTTTTTTTGGTGGGACTGGGGTTTGAACTGATGGCTTTGTACTTGCAAAGCAGGCACTCTACTGCTTGAGCCTCACCTCCAGTCCATTTTGCTCTGGTCATTTTAAAGATGAGGTCTCTTGAACTATGCTTGGGCTGGCCTCGAACCTTGATCCTCCCTGTCTCAGTCTCTCAAGTAGCTAGGATTACAGGTGCGAGCCCTTAGTGCTGGGCTCCCACTCAGCAATTTTTGAAGTCCTTTGACTCCCTCTCCTCAGTACTCAGGCAGTTTGTATTTTATATACCAGCTTGGAGAAGTCTGGTAGAAACAAGAAGTTTCAAGCTGGTGTAGTGGCACACACTTGTAATTCCAGCTCTCTGAAGGCGGAGGCAGGAGGATAGCCAATTCAAGGCCAGTTTGGGCTATGTATTGGCAGGGAGGGATGGAGGAAGGAAGGAAGGAAGGAAAGAAGGAAAAAAAGGGTCTTTTTTCTGTCTCAAAAATGAGGCACAGGTAATGTACAGTCATTCCTATCAGTTTGATTTTATTATTTTATTAGTGTTTTGGTCAGTGAGTCTGCCAAGATTATTCAATGAAAGCCTGAATAAGGACTAGAAAACTGGTAGAAAACAGAGTTGCCATTCCAGGAAGAAACTGCCCTGTATGTTTATTTCTGTATTTGCAATTTATACTCCACTGGTTTTATTTATTTATTTGGTTGTACTAGAGTTTGAACTCAGGGCCTTATACTTGTTAGACAGGTGCTCTACCACTTGAGCCACTCCACCAACCTGATTCCACCAGTTTTAATGAAGGATTTGAGGAAGTTGCCTTTCTTAGGTGGAATTGTGTGTCTCTGGAGGTAAAGAGCCACACTGATTTCTTGCTGTATAATTATTTTTCAATTACAGTACGACTACTAAGCCTTTAAGTTCCCACTGGAGTGGCTCACACAATTTCATTACCACTAGAAACCACAGCAATGTTCCAGGAAACAGACTCTCACCATTTAGTGAGGTGGAATGCAGCCAAACCCCGGCTAACACCCGACTGCCTGCATATCAGCTACAATCCTCTCTAGATATGAGTTGCAAGTCTGTTCAGAGGACTGGGAGTTTTTAATGGAGGGCTGTTGGCTACACCAAGAAATAAGGGCTGTTGGCTACACCAAGAAATACCCATGATAACAGGTGAGCATCTCTGCCCAACTGCAGTTTGCTGGGGCCTCCCTGCCCTCACATACTAGGCTTGGGACCTTGAGGCAGGTCTCATCTTCCTGAAGGCAGCTTAGCAGTGACATAATCTCTTCACTTCATCTGCCAGGGCTCCCTTCCTGTGGGGCAGTACACCAAAGGCCCAACAGGGGTGGGTGGCAAGTCCAATAAACAGGACCTCATCTCTTGGAGTTCTTGGATCTCGCTGCTCTGAGGGCCACAGTGTACCAATAAGACCTTTTCTGCCTTCTGTATGGTATTCAGAGCTTCAGGTACTGCAAACCTGAATGAAGGGAGGGAAAAGGAGTCAGCTCATTGTCAGTCAAACAAATGTTTTTTGTTTTGTTTGTGGTAATGGGGCTTGAACTCAGGCTACCACTTGAGCCATGCCCCAGCCCTTTCTGCTAAGTTATTTTTGAGATTTTTGCCCAGGACTGGTCTTGGACCACAATCCTCCTAACCTACACCTCCATATAGCTGGGTTTACATGAGCACACCACCATACATGGGTTATTTGCTGAGATGGCGTTTTGCTAATTTTTTTTTGCCCTGTCTTGAACCACAATCTTCCTGATTTCTACCAAGTATGGGATTACAGGCACAAACCATTGTGCCGGCCATGTAGGAAATGTTAATTCACACACTGTGAAGGACACAAAAGTATCTAAGATCAGTTCTGCCCTCCAGAATTTTATAATCTAGAAGGGTAGATAAGACACCTTATAAACACATAGCAGAGTTTGGGGAGCAAATTATGAAAGTGGTGCAGATGGTGTCACCTGGAGCTTGAACAGCTGCACTTGGGTATCAAAGACAATGGCTAAGAATAAATTAAGAGGGCAGAAGTATACGAATGTATTTCACATAAGCAGCCAAAAATCTTTAAGGCTAAAAAAAAGGCAAAACCAGTTACTGCTGGATGCTGGTGGCTCATGCCTGTAATCCTATTCAGGAGGCTGAGATCAGGAGGATCAAGGTTTGAGGCCAGCCCAGGCAAATAGTTCACAAGACTTTATCTCAACAATAGCTGGGTGTGGTGGCATATGCTTGTCGTACCAAGTTATGCCAGAGGCTGAGATTGGGAGGCTCATGGTTTCAGACCAGCCCTGGCAAAAAAAAAAAAAAAGACACAGTCCATCTTAATAGAAAAAATTTGGGCATGGTGGTGAGTGTGTCATCCCATTTACAGTGGGAAGCATATAATAGGGAGATCAAGGTTCAGGTGGGCCTGGGCAAAAAGCAAGACCTTATTTCCAAAATGGCCAGAGCAAAATGGGCTGGAGGTGTGGCTCATCTTCCTAGCACCTGCCTAGCAAGCACGAAGCTCTATGAGTTCAAATCCTTGTACTGCAAAAAAAAAAAAAGTTACACTAATCTTAAGATAAATATTGTGAATGCAAAAGAGTTAACAGAGTGACTAAAACTTTTGTAAATGTACAGAAGGAACCAGATACTACTTTCAAACCAGATACTTCCGAACCTCTGCAGAAAGAGCTCATTCCTCAGTAGAATCATGAAGATGAGCCAGTTAATGTTGATGAAGCTACAGGATTAATAGCTCAATTATAATGCAGGGGTGATGCATCAATTTCCCCCCCCCAAAAATCAATAAATTTGTTTTATATAAAAAAATTTATGCAGGCATCAATGGCTCACATAATCCTAGCTACTCAGGAGGCAGAGATCAGGAGGATGACAGTTCAAAGCCAGCCTGGGCAAATAGTGCAAGAGACCCTATCTCAAAAAAACCATCATAAAAAAATAGAGAGACTCTAGAATCCTGAGAAAAACAGGTGAATTTCAAAGCTTTAATCTTGTATTTACATAAGGCTTCCAAAGGAGTATTTGTCTTACTAGGGATTGAACTCTGTGCCCTTTCTGCTCTCTATCAAATGGGCTGTCTCTATATATTGGGTGTCAGCGCCTCTCACCATTGGGTTTAAGCTCCAAACACTTTCTCATACCAGTGTACACCACTGACAGCTTTATCAAGGATGGAGGTATTCCATCCAGAAATACTGAAATTAGGAGACCCCAACCCCAATGATCTCAGTGGCAAAAGTGGGTAAGGCATCAGCTTATCAACTCTGTTGTTTCCTTTTTTTTGGGGAGGCACAGTGTGGAGATGAAACCCAAGGCCTTTTGCATGATAGGCAAGTGCTTTACCAATGCACTATACCTCAATCTCCTCTTTTTTTTTCTTTGCAGTACTGGGGTTTTGAATTCCAGGCGTATACCTTGAGCCACTCCGCCAGCACTTCTTTAGTGATGGGTTTTTTTGAGAAAGGGTCTCGAGGACTATTTTGCCTGGGGTTGGCTTTGAACTGTGATCCTCCTATATCTCTGCCTCCTGAGTAGCTAGGATTACAGGCTTGAGCTGCAATGCCTGGCTTCAACCCCTCTTTTAGCCTTTTTCTTTTTGCTTTTTTGAGACAAAGTCTTGCTATGTAGCCTAGTCTGGCCTTTGAACTCAGGGCCTTGTGATTCTCCTGCTTTGTGACTAATCATGCTTGGATTACACACACCTAGCTCTCTCTTTTAACCTTTTAAAGCAGGGTTTTCTAAGCCTTAACAGCGAATGAGTCTTTGGGTTGGAATGTCCTGCACACTACAGGAGGTTTATAGCACATCTCATGGTCTCTACCCACTAGATGTTAGTAGCACCCTCCCTCGCAAAGTTATGACAATAACAATGTCTCAGATATGCCCAAATGCCATCTGGGGGCAAAAACTCCTGGTTGAAAACACTGCTTTAAAAGGACTGAAGATGCAAACTAGGGAAAAGGCAGAGACCCCAGAGTTGAGGGTGTTTATTAGTGAGAGAGCTGAGGGATCTGTGATTAACCAGAGAGAATGAGAAGAAAATGCTAACTGATAGGTAGTGGGGCTGCCTGGCAAGTCCTTCCGGAAACTCACTTCACAGTTAAGAGTTTTCCCCATATTACTCAGGAGAATTTGGTAAGCAAAACAGAAGGCAATGATCTGTCGTAGATGAATAAAGAAGTTTCAATTTGCTTAAAAGCACTGTAGGAAAAAGTCATACACAGAAGCAATTAGTAGAAAATAGAACAGTATGTGCCCTTGGAAAAGTGCTAAGAAAAGGAAGACTTACCCATTGAACAAGACCTGGGGCAGTTTTGAAGAGCTTCATGGCCCTTTCAACACTGGATGGCCATGGCGGGGCCTCAACCACTTGCAAACTTTCTGCAGATGGCTAGCAGACTTTTGCCAGTCCCCTGGGAGAACGAAAAAGGTGCTAGGTAGAGCCTCCCCATATTTACCCTGGGTTCCCACAACCAACTCTACAGCCTATTAAGAGTCATCATTCTCTTGACTAAAATCTAGGCTAAAAATTAGGTTTCATAAGGTATGGTAAACAAGTTCCCGGCATGCCATCATGGTTTAATTTCTGAGAAAAACAGGATCTTTCCTTCTCTATCTCTCTTCTGAGGACTGAACCCAGGGCCAACTGTGTGCCAGGTAAGTGTTCCAGTGCTGAGCTTTATCTCCAGTGATTACACATTCCCGCTGCTATCTAGAAGAGACTGGCTTTGATGAAGGCAGAACAACCTTCCTAGGAAGTAAGGTCATTAGGCTGGGTAGTTAAAATAAATGACACTGAACTTCTGGAACTGCACAATGTTCATGGAAGTCAGTTATCAGGAGTACTGGAACTTTGCTATCTGATGCATAAGACAACAACAGCTGAAATCATCTGGCGCTTTTTCAAGGACACCAGAGTAACTGAGCTGGTTAGGGTTTGGTCTTCTCATTGGATTATATAGCCACCTTGTGGCTGTTACGGGGATAATTACATTCAATTCTTCAATTACTACTGAATTTTTCTTTTTCTTTTTTTGGTGGGTCTGGGGTTAAATTCAGGGTTTTTACACTTGTAAAGCAGGCACTCTACCACTTGAGACAGACCTCCAGCCCATTACTGAGTTTTCTTGAGTGCAAGAACACATAAAAGGGAAAGAGTTAGAGGCCCAAAGCAGGGAGCCAGTCTCACCTAGTTTACCATTTCTGAGAAGCTTCCAGGCCATCCCAACCTGTTGCTGAAGGTGCTGTAACCGACAGACCAGCTGGTCCCTGCTGACGGATCCTGTACAAGATCCACTGCCACAGCTCAGCACAGCATCTCCCTGTGGAAGTCAGTTCTAACTTTATTCCTAAACCAGAATTGGTTATCAACATTGTCTGTACTTACACTATAGGATCACTGACCCCACCGGCAAAGAGACTCCTGCAATACTATACCGTGATCTAAGCCTGACTGAATTTGGTCTGTTAGCAGCAATTCCAATGAAGGCAGCAGCTGATTCCACTCTAACATTTAGTTTTGGAACTGGACTGGTATAGTTCATAATTCCTTCCCATCTTGACAGCCTCTTGCTTCTATCTTTCTGGACAGACCTTTGGATAACAAACACATTTCTAGGGGTTTTAAAAAAAGTCATAACAAATACAATACAGAAAGGTACTAGGTGAGGCTGCCCCACATATTACCTTAGGTTTGCAACTCTAGTTTCCCAACCAGCTCTGCATCCACTTATGGTACACGCTAAACCCCTGAGGTGACCCTGCTGCTGACCATGCCAATGTCTATGCCACATTTGGCAACAGCAACCTAATTTCTCCTGAGGATCCTCCTTACCCTCTCATAGCTAGTGCCCTGTAGCTAAGGGGACTCAGATGTGGCCCTTCCCTCCTATTCAAATGGCTGGTGGAAAATTTTGTGACTCTGATTTTCCTCCACTCATAGTTGCCAGGTCAATGACTTGTGCCCATACTGTTGTTGGTGTAGAATACATTTTCATACTCCTGGGCAGGGAGGATAAGGAGGCTGAGCTGCTGGCAACTGTCTTGTCACCATGAAAGGGAAGTGTGTCTGAGGATGGGGCTAGCACAAAGGAAATGGAGCAGAGAAAGAGGGAGGGAGGGAGGAAGCGGGGGAGGGAGGGAAGGAGGGAGAGAAAGAGAGGGACAGACAGAGACAGAGAGACAGTAAAATCGGTTCCTGGTGACATTATCTGAGACCCTGGAAAAAGCTGTACCTGAAGTAGCCCTACCCTGGAACTTTTTCTTTTTTTTCTTTTTTTGTTTCTTTTAAGACAGGATCTCTATGTACTTACTATGTAGACCAAATTAGTCTTGAACTTGTGATTCTCTTGCCTCTGCTTCCTAGTACTGGGATTACAGGCATGAACCACCAAGCCTGGCATGGGTCTTTTTTCAATGATTTATATGAGCAAATAAATTCCAGTTCTTTTTCCCCACTGGAATCAGTTTGGGTGGAATTTTCTGTCATGTGGAAGACAAACATTACTAATTCCAACCTTACCCTGTGGGTTCCTTTAAAGGGACGACCAATGTGTGGGGATGGTTCATTAAAACGTTAGTGATATTACTGCACTCAGCTTCCTCCTGAGGACTGATGACCTTTGGGCTGGATCACTATCCTCAGGCAACAGTAGAGAAGAGAAGAGAGAAATTTACCTGCATGAGCGCGCCACAACCGTTACAACAGAAGGCTTCCCAGCTGGGCCCTGCAGCTGTTTTGGGCTTCTCAGTGTGGCAAGCTGGACAGCTACAGTCAAAGAAAGTACTGAGACCTCAGCTTCTGCTGCCTTTCAGCAACATCCATCCGGCTCTCATGAGGCCCTGGAGACAGATCACCCTTAGCTACTTCTTTTATCTATCTATCTGTCTGTCTGTCTATCTATCTATCTGGGACTGGGGTTTGAACTCAGGGCTTTGTGCTTGCAAAACAAGTGCTTTACTGCTTGACTTACACCTCCAGTCCATTTTGCTCTGGTTATTTTGGAGATGGGGGTCTCAAGAACTGTTTGTCCTGGCTGGCCTCAAACTGAGTGCCTCCCAATCTCAGCCTCCCAAGTAGCTAGTATTACAGGCATGAGCCATTGGTGCCTGGCCATCCTCCGTTACTTCTTGTTTTCTTGTGGTACTGGGTATGAATTCAGGGCCTCACTTGCTAGGCAAGCACTCTACCACTTGATCCACTCTGTCAGCCCTGGTTTTTTTTTTTCAGTGCCGGAGCTTGAACTTAGGGCCTATACCTTTAAGTCACTCCACCAGCCTTTTTTTGCTATGAGTGTTTTTGAGATAGGGTCTCGCAAACTGTTTGCCCAGGCTGGCTTTGACCTGTGATCCTCCTGATCTCTGCCTCCTGAGTCGCTGGGATTACAGGTGTGAATCACCAGCATCTGGCTCAGCTACTTCTTAAAGCAAGAGAGTCAAACACTAGTTATAAGCTTTCAGCTCATCAGACAGGCTGTATGATTCATCATGGGACATTAGTGGAACTGGACTCTGAAATAAGCTTATAAGTTGCTGGAGCAGGAAGAAAAAGCAGCTGAGAAGTTGCTTTGAGCCCATTTTCAGAACAGTCAGTTTATAGAGATCAAGCAGTAAGACACACAAAAGCGTAGCCACAAAAGGGCTCTCTTCTGTGGTAGGAAGACCTTTGTTTTTGGCCTAAGACTGCATTGCCTCTTCCAGGAAATAAACACTGGACAGGTAGAGACACCTGTGCAGTGACTTGCTCATTCCCATCTAGCCTGTCCTTTTTGGGTGGAGAAGGGCAGTAGAGTGGCACAGGAGGGCTTAGCTCACCATAGCAGTGGAGAATCTCTTGCCCTCTTCCAATCTGCTGTGCTGCCCGAATGGTGGCGACAGTGTTTGTGAAAGACACGCTGGTGTTGGGCCTGCAGGAGTGGTTCAGGAGACTGACAACAGGAAAGATGCCTGTGGCAAGGCGTATCTGCCTGCTGGTGGTAATGATGCTCTCTTTAGACCCTGAAAGTGGAAGAGACAAAAGGAAAAATGCATCAGGATATCAGTCTTGTCCTTGCCATCTATTCCTCAGAAGATGAGCAGAGCAGCTGGGCCTGGAGCCCATCTGAGTCATTGCTCCCCAGCCAGATCCAATATAAATCAGATGGAAAATGACTCATAGCAAACTCTGGTCCCCAGGAAGCAAAGTGAATGAACACATGAAAAGTCCACTGGAATCCTAAAACTTTGCCATTATGTCCCTATGCCACCTTGAAGAGCCCAAGATTAGAATTTATAAAAAATAATCAAAAAAGGATTATCAGTAGGGAGCTTTCTAGACAGTTTCATAATGTTCACAAGGACACAGAAACTAGAGTACCTGTTGAAGACTATTTCTCAAAGTCAAGTGCTCTTGTTTAACTGCTCTTTGGTTGGTTAACAGAACAAGTGACCCAATTACTATATTAAACTTTATATATTTAAGCAGGCTTAAGAGTACATATAAGTCAACATGCCTTATGTGTGTGCCTTCATTCTGCCCTCTGTCCCCCTTTATGGGAAGCCAGTCAGCAGTAGTTCTCATGGAAGCAAACTCTGTACTAGTTTTACTCAAGATAGTCTCATATTCCAAAAATTTCTTTGCAGCACAGTTAACCAGCATCTTAACTATACAACTGAAAATCAGGAAGAAAGAAAATGGTCCCTAAGCACTGAAGCTGGTTTGTACAAAGCTTGTACACTTATGTTCATATGTGTATTCTTTGTCCTTATGTGTAGGCCTATGTGTTAGTCAGATTTCTGTCGATATGACAAAATATCTGAGAAAATCAACTTAAAAAGAGGAAAGGTAAGCTGGGTGTGCTGGTTCATGCCTTAATCCTTGCACTCAGGAGCTGAGGAAGGAGGATTGTGAATTTAAGGCCAGCCTGGGTTACATAGGGAGTTTGAGAACAGCCTAGGCTACATAGCAAGACCATGTCTCAAAAAGCAAAAACCAAAACAAGGGAGAGAAAAGATTTATTTTAGTTCACAGTTTTGCAGGTTTTGGCCCATGGTAACTTGGGCTTGTGGTGGTACTGTGCAGGAATGTGCTGCAGAGGAGGCTGTTTACCTCTTACGACCAAGAAGCAAAAAGAGAGAGGAAGGGTCCCTCTTTCTGCTCTCTTTTTGGTACACCCCTAATGACCTAACTGCCCACCTCCCAAAAAGTTCCACCATCTCCCAATAGTGCTACAGGCTGGCAACTAAGACTTCAGCACATGGGCCTGTGGGTACACTTAAGATCCAAACCACATCAGCCTATTTGCTCTTTTTTTTTTTAAAAAAAACATAGTGCTAACTAGTTTAGTTATGCCATTTCTTAGGCCATAAAAGTACAGAAGCAGAGAATGTAAGAGGCAGGTTTTCCTGACAATGACAAAAGACACAGGGTGACAGACTGGGAAAGAGGCAGAAAATTTATAAGGTTACAGCCTTATTGGACTTGGGGTATGGCCCATGTGGTAAAGCACCTGCCTAGCAAGTACAAGGCCCTCTTCTTAAAAAAAAAAAAAAAGTAACAGCCTCAGGGCAAACAAAAACACTCAACTATTTTTTTAGGGGAGAGCTCAAAAGCAGTCCCCTGCTACCATAAATTATGCAGTTGAGTTTCCCACATTTGGGGAAATCACAGGGGTCAGCACATCCAGAGTGCAATGGATAAGCCTTGCCCTGGGAAAACCACCTTGTTGGAGGGATCATGGTATCTTCTCTGCCGGGTACATCTCAAGTTTTACTATACTTGTAACATTTTACTTAACCAGAGGCTCCTGGAGGGATGGCATGCCTGCATTAGTTTTTGTAACAGCCATACATAGACCAGGAATATGCATGGTATAGATAACCGTGGCCATGGAGAAGGGCTTAATTTATGTTCAGTAGCCTTGCTCTAAGTACAAGGGAAATCATGTTTGCAACCAACTGAGGAAATGAGAACGATATTGATACTTAAAGGGAAAACATTCGATTTTCTAGAAAACTGGAAACCCTTCAGATAATTGTGGTATCATTGTACATATGCTAGGAATTTCCAACAAATCATTTACCAAAGAAATAAGTAGTCTAGATACAAATGTAATAAAAAAAGAAAATATCATGAACCATCATGTGAAAATGTTGTGAAAAGGAAAAATTAAATACAGGAATTATGTTGTCTCTCTGCAGACAATTCCATTATCTGTTGCTATGGGGACAAGAAAAGAATAAGTAAACACAATTCACAGGGAATCCAAATGACTCAATTTTAGCCAATAATTCTACAAACTGTATTAAAATCTTTCATCAGAGCTTCTCCTAGGTGCTTAACTGATTTTACTTTTCTCTCCCTCCCTCCTGTAAAATGTCTACCTTCTGGAATATGTGCTAATGAGCAGTGAAAATGCTAAAAGGTAGGCAGCAGGAAGGAGCCATACAGGGCATGAACAATTTGTAGTCTGAATAATCAGCCTCTGCATAATTAAAAGTTGACTTGCATTCTCAACTACTGATAACTGGCAATCTGTATTAGATCAGTTGCTAAAATTTTCCCAGAAAAAATGATTGCAACATGGTGAGTAATGTCAGCTTTGTGAATTATTTATAGATTATCCTGTAACAGAAGTAAGCCCAGGAACTGAGTGGGGTATTTGTGTCAGAGTTGAATGTCTCTCTAATTATTTCCAAAAAATTAAGTATTGATTTTTTAAAATTACTCAATATTTTGCATTAGTCATCTATTAGCAGAGATAACAGAAAGACAGAATATGTATGTAACTTATCAACCAAATTTAATATGTGACATTTTATATATTAAAAAAAAGATGGTGCGATTCTTTACAAACAGCGTGCCTCACTAATATCCCTGTGCATTTAAAATAGGATTCACGTAAAAGGGGAAAAAAAGATTCATTCATAATAATTCCAGAATATATCTACTCTGGTATGTATCTCGCAAAATGAAAAGTCTGTGCATGTGTCAGGTAAGCAAGGGCCCAAACTAAAGGTTGTTGAAGAGTAAAAAAGCAAAGGGCAGTGAACTGCTCTGAAGTTACATGAGGCCTTATTAAGGTATGTAATGACATGATGGGGTATGACACAAATGTGCTGTTCCCACTGAGACAGAACCACACACATCTGCATCAAGGTCTAGTTTGTCATCAGTGGCCAGGCTGTCCCTTGAGATGGGCACCAGAGAGAGGTTTCTAAGAAACTTTGATTAAAAAGGATTTATGCAATGATAATAACATACATTTTTATAGGTTTCTGTCAAAGTCTATCCTAGTTAACACTTTAATCCTTCTTCTGTGCTACTAATGAAACAGCTGCTAATGAAATTCAATGAGAACACTAAACTGGGAGGTGTTAGAACCCCAAAGAAATAATAAAAAGGATATAACAAGATTAGAAATAGGAGTAGACTAAAACAAAATTAGATTGACTTCACAAATGAAAATGAACATTGCTAGTGGGCATGTAACTAGTATAACTTACCTGGAGGGCAATTTTGCAATATGTATCAAGTGCCTAAAAAAGCTCATATAAAATGTTCTTAGCATTTGTATTATTTTTATCATAAAAAGAATTAAAGGCACAAAAAGGAATACATTGTAGTGAAGAAAAAACTAAAAACTAAAAGTTACATAGACAATGACAGTACTCTATAGTCCTATTAGCAGGGAAAACATTTTGGTGTATTTTCTTGTACTCTTCTAATTTTTTTTTTTTGAGACATACTTTTTCTATGCAGCCCAGGCTGGCTTCAAACTTGCAATCCTGTTGCCTCAACCTTCTACAGTTTGGGATTACAGCTGTGAGCCACCACGCCTGGATTATTTATTTTTTTGTGGAGCTGGGAATAGAACCCATGGCCTAATGCATGCAAGCATTGTACTACTGAGTTATACTCCTAGCCCTGGCTATCTTTTCATTGCCTATATTTGGTATTATATACTTTAAGAAACCTATCCATCCTAAGACTATATAAATGTTCATATACCTTTCTCTACATATTTTATGGTTTAATTTTTAGTTTTATGTCTTTAACATATGCTTTTTAAAAAATTTTTCACATAGTGGGATCATTACTCTAAATACTGCATACTGTTTTCTTCCAGTTAGAAACTGATCTTGACCAGACATTGGTGGCTCACACCTCTACTCTTAGCTACTCAGGAGGCAGAGATCAGGAGGATCATGATTCGAAGCAGTGAGGACAAATAGTTCATGAGACGCTTTCTTGAAAACAGCAACACAAAAAAGGGGATGGTGGAGAGGCTCAAATGGTAGAGTGCCTGCTCAGCAAGTGTGATGCCCAGAGTTCAAACCCCCAGTACCACAAAAAAAAAAAAAAAAAAAAAAAAGAAAGAAAAAAGATCTTGTAGTCAGGCAGGCACGGTGGCTCACTCCTGTAATCCTAATCCTAGCTACTTAGAAGGTGGAGACAGGAAGAATGGTGGTCCAAGGCCAACCAGGGAAAACAGTAAGACACCCTCCCTCCCATTTTAACCAATAAAAAGTACAGCATGGTGGCTCACAGTTGTAATCCTAGCTGCTTGGGAGATGACCAGGAGAATCACTGTCCAGGCCAGTCTGGGCATAAATGTGAGACCTATTTGAAAGCAAAAAGGGCTGAGGGTATAGCTCAACTGGTAGAGAGTACATGCTTAGCAAGCACAATGCCCTGAGTTCAAACCCCAATACCATCTAAAAGCTCTGTACATCTGTCTCTACAGAACTACTATGAACAGGCAGCTAGTGCCTGTTTCATTGCCCTGCCAGGGTTTTCATTCACCATCCAGGATCTGGCTTGTTTCCGGGCCATTGTGACAAGCAGAACTCAGTGAGACTATCTCATGTTTTCAGAGACTATGAGGGGCCCAGAGGTGGGACTATCAGTGGAAGAACCTATGGCATTTTCTTAGCTCTTTATCATGGACCCTTTCAAACATATTTACTGGTATATTATAAAGAATATTATAAACAATAGAGATGAAGA